CCCTAATGTAATTCGGACGGCGTGCGCTACCATTCAGGCGTTAGCAACACAGACCGTGCACGTGCCCCCGGGTTCACAAATGTTGATTCCCCTCCGGTTACGGAAGCCATGGGGGAAGGAGGCCTCGGAACAGGCCATGCTTTTGGGTCCTTCTAATAGGGCTGTTGGAGGTCTCGATTTATCGGTGGCTCACACTTTGGTTGGGGCAGACAGGGATCCGTTTGTCATGGTTTTAAACGCTGGGGCGCGGCCGGCCGTCATTCAGCAGGGCACCGTGCTGGCTCACGCGGCACGGGTCCCTGCGGAGGAGAGGCTGGTTGCGCAGGCTGATCCGAGCCCCACGAATAGCGTACCATCAAAGGAGGACCTAGATTGGATTGATATGCTGTGCGCGGACTCTGACGATTTGTCAGCGGTACAGTTGGGTGCGTTGCGCGGGTTGCTGATTGAATTTTCGGATGTCTTCAGTAAACATAAGTATGATATCGGATGCACGGACCTGCTACGCCACCACATTGAAACGGGCGATGCGGCACCGGTCAGGCAAAATCCCTTCCGACTGAGTCCTGCTGAGAAGGAACATGTTCAGTCGGCAGTTAACGATATGCTGGAAGCCGACATTATTTCGCCTTCTTCCAGTCTTTGGGGAGCACCCATTGTGCTCGTTAAAAAGCGGGACGGGTCCCTGCGATTTTGCGTCGATTTCCGCCGCCTGAATAAGATCTCGGTGGCCGACGCGTATCCGCTCCCCAGGATGGACGAGTCTCTCGACGCATTGTCCGGTGCGCGATACTTTTCGACTCTTGATTTATTGTCCGGATTTTGGCAGTTGCCACTCGACGAGGAGTCTAAGCCTAAGACTGCATTCCGGACTCCAGGGGGCCTGTTTCAGTTTAACCGGTTACCCATGGGACTTCACTCCTCTCCTGCGACGTTTCAGCGTCTTATGGAATTGGTTTTGTCGGGCTTGCAGTGGGAGACGTGCCTCATTTACCTTGACGATGTCATTGTTTTCGGTAAAACGTTCGAAGAACACCTCCAGCGATTGAGAGGGGTGTTCTTGCGAATGCGATCGGCTAAATTAAAGTTTAAACCGGCCAAATGCCATCTTTTTCGTAAATCCGTGAGGTACTTGGGTCACATTGTCGACTCTTCGGGGATTTCTACCGATCCTGCGAAGACGGACTGTGTCAGTTCGTGGCCGACGCCCACGTCAGTGTCAGACGTGCGCAGTTTCATCGGTTTTGCTTCGTATTATCGCCGATTCGTTGAGCACTTCGCCACCATTGCAAAGCCCTTGCACGCTTTAACGGCAAAAGGAGTGAAGTTCCGGTGGGGACCGGAGGAGGAGGCTGCATTCTGCTCCCTCCGGGACGCCTTGGTAAGGGCCCCACCCCTGCGCTATCCGGACTTTGAGAGTCCCTTCTTGCTAGACACGGATGCTAGCAACACGGGCATTGGGGGAGTGCTGTCCCAAGTCGTTGGAGGGGTCGAACGGGTGGTCGCCTATGGTAGCAGGGTGTTGTCGCCGGCAGAGCAGCGCTACTGCGTCACCCGTCGTGAACTACTTGCCATTGTTTTTTTTGTACAACAATTCAGGCCATATCTCTATGGTCGTCATTTCACGGTCCGGACGGACCATGCGGCGCTCCAGTATTCATTACGGGTTGCCCAGCCCTCGGGCCAATTGTCGCGGTGGTTGGAAGTCCTCCAGGACTATCAGTTCACGACTACGTACCGTAAAGGGTTGCGACACACGAATGCCGATGCCCTGTCGCGGTTGTTGCCTTGTCACAAATGTGCGTGCTTATCGGGATCGGCGCGCTGTAAACCTCCGGTTACGGAAGGTAGGGAGGCGTTGGTTGCGACCGCGAGCACACCAATTGGGGATGGTCCCGCTACCCCAGGGGGTCAGGACTCGCTGCTCTCACTGTCGTTGATTGAGTGGGGCCGTCTCCAAATGGCGGACAGCTCCCTGCTGGCATTGCGCCGAAAGACGGAGGGTTCCGAAGGTAGCCACGACCGAACTGGCTCCTACGAGCTTAAGCAGGGCCTGTTGATGAGATGGGACAGTTTGTCCCGGCGGCATGCGATTGTGGTGCCTTCTGCTGTGAGGGGGAAGGTTGTCTTGGCCGCACACGAACGCCTCTTGCATTTGGGAGTTAACAAAACGCTTGCCCTGCTTCAGCGTGACTATTATTGGCCGGGAATGGGGGGTGACGTGGTGAATATTCTGAAGGGTTGTGTTGAGTGCGCCAGACGGAAACCACCGCCCGTGGCAGCTAATCCACCGCTGCAATCTATTCAGGTCTCGCGCACTAACGAGCTCGTTGCACTCGATATTCTGGGGCCCTTTCCGGTCACGCCTAGGGGTAATAAGTACCTGTTGGTGGGGGTCGAATATTTTACCCGGTGGCCTATGGCGTGGCCACTCGCCAACCAGTCGGCGGCGGCTGTGACGGACGCCTTTGTCCAGGGCTACGTCCTGGACAAGGGGGCTCCCGAACGCTTGCTGACTGACCAAGGGAAAAATTTTTCGAGTAAATTACTGCAGGAGGTGTGCGACCTGTTGGGTACCAAAAAGGTGCGTACCTCCCCGTACCACCCGCAGACGGACGGGATGGTGGAGAGGCTTAACAGGACATTGACCTCTATGCTGTGCCAGCAGGTGTGTGAGTCGCATGTTGATTGGGACCTGCAGGTCCCTGGGGTCCTCGCCGCGTATAGAATGGCCCCCCATGCAGCTACGGGGTTTTCCCCGTTTTTTCTAATGTACGGTCGGGAAGCCGACCCGCCCATGGAAACGCAGCTGGGTCTGCCCGCACCACGAACTAATTCTAAATTGGCTGAGCATATTAAATTTAATATTCATAAACTGACAGAGGCAAGGGAGGCCGCACGGCTTAATTCGCGGGCTCGCCAAATTGCGAACGAGCGGTTGCGGGCACGGAAGGTGTCCGTGCACAATTGGGAACCAGGTGACAAGGCCTGGCTGCATTGCCCTCAGGCACCTTTGGCCACGTCGCCTAAATTGTTGAAGCCGTGGCGGGGACCCGTGGAGGTCGTGCGGGTTGCACGCCCCCAGTGCGTTCAGATAAAATGGGGGAAACGCCGTTGGTACGTCCACCCCTCCCGACTGAAACCGTTCTCGCCTCCGTATGGCCTCCCCTTGTGTCGTGAGGGCCGAGCATGTGACGTGACCGACGACCCTGAGGGGGAATTGTCCTTGCCTGCTCCTCACATGTCTCCGCCTGATCCGCTCCCAGGTGTCTCGGAACTGACTGCTGCCGACCACCGGCGGCCGGATCTTCACGGCGGGGCCGGTCCTTCCAGGCCCGATCCGTGCCGTCTAGAGCTGCCGGAGACACCGGACGGTCGCCAACGTCCCGTTCCATACGACGGACCGGCCAGACGGACTCGCGCTAGGTCGCGCTACTTTGTGTAACCTACCACGTGCGGAGTCGAGGCAGCCGGAGCGCCTCGGCACTGCGTGGGTCACAGTGACACTTGGCGCGTTCGTTTTACGGTGTTCGCTTTTATTGTGTTGTTCGTCGGGCTGTATATTGCTTCGTATTTAAGGTTGTGTTATGTTGTTGTTGTTGTGTTACGGGGCACACTGGGATGTGGAGTTCTTTATTACTGCGTTGCGTTATGTTGTGTTGTAGGTTAACAGCCGGGCCGGCTGCAAGCTATGTGGGAGGGGGTGATGTAGAGGTGATACGCGCTGGGATTAAGGATCGTATGCACAGTGCGGGATGATTGGCTGTGTAGGTGGTGACGCGCGCTGACGGTGGAGGATCAGGGGTCAGCGCGGGGTCGTGGGTTACGGGGTACCGATTGGCTGTGGGCGGGTGACGCGCTGAGAGGGAGTGATCAGGTGCCAGCGCAGTGTGATTGGTGGAGTAATGTTAACACGCGCTGGGGAAAGCGGATCGTAGAGAGAGTGCGTCGTGATTGGTTCATTAAGGAACGACGCTCACGTCGACGCCGCATCAGCTCCGTCTCTTGTGAGCAGGGGCTATAAAAGGGGATGCACACAGGCGTAAGGGCAGTGTGTAACCAGCGAAGAATGAAGACGGGGATGAAGACCTAGAGCCCTGCGGTACCTAGCCCCGCTGTCCTAAGGGGACCGGGACTCTGTGTAACCCAGAGGCGAGTGTAGTGTGTGTAGCCATAGGTCTACACGAGCCGAATGTACTGTGTGTAGCCAGGGCATAGGGCTTACACGAGTCGAGTGTATTGTGTAGCCAGAGGCATAGGGCTTACACGAGTCGAGTATATTGTGTGTAGCCAGAGGCATAGGGTCTACACGAGTCAAGTGTATCGGGTGTAGCCAGAGGCCTAGAGCTTACACGAGATTAGTGGAGTGTGTCGTCGGAAGAAGGAAGACCACACGTTGTATTGTGATACCTAAAGGATTTAATAAAAGTGTGTTACCCGTCAAGAAGTTCCTGCCGTCAATTCCAATACTTCACCTGCAATACGTGCATAGAATTGCACAGAAATTGATTGTTATTCACATACGTAATATTTAACTGGTTCACGTGGCCCCTTAAGCCATTGGAGGTGATGCCATTCTCTGCATTGTAAAAAATATAATTTGATTCTTGAATTATAATTCATTTCATGACCCGGAATCACAACAATGTATGGAGTCGCCGAGAAATGGAGGGGATGAATCATTCCACCCTTACTAGTTATACCATTGAAATATAACTCGTGATGTCCTATTTATTTTTGAGTTGTACCACATGTTTGGCATTATATCCAACACTTCACCCCCCATGCTGGGAGCATCTCCATTTCATACTGGAGCGAAACGTCAGACATTAAGGACCGAAAAACATGCAGTCCTACCAGAGCTGCATAGCTACAACTGTGAAAACAAATGCAATCGATGTCAACATTTTTTTTCACTTCTATGAAATGTATGATTTAAGCTACTTTTCTGCTTGTCTTTTATTTGCGGAACAATGGCACATTTAATATCCTTTTTCCAGGCTGCAGAGGACTCCGATCAAGCTGCAGTGCTTCGCCGTGGATTCCCCATCTGCAAAGGAGCCAGTTGGCTACGTGGTCCTTGATCTTAGGTCCGTTCAAGAAAAGCCGACGGTAAGAGCCTTATTGTGTTGCAGTGGTTAGTGCGCTGCATTATGAATCCAACCACCTGAGTTCAATTCCAGGCCACGGCTAAAATTGGGAAGTGAGTAATATCTGAATGTGTCCTCAGGTCTCCCCCCTTCACCAACTTGTGCATGGTGAAGTATGGTCAACAAACCCCATGACTGACACAGAGTGGGGAGGCTTTCATCCAACAGTGGATTGACAAGCGACTGTAAATGATTATTTTTACAGAATTATAGTTTGGATTTGCATGAGAAGAACAATGTCCAGGTTTTAATCTGTGGCAAGTAAAAGGCTACTATAAACTGTTTATACATTACTGAAGGAATTGTAAAAGTAATTGACAGACCTCATGCGCAACATTTATGTAAATACTTTAGGCAATATAGGATCTCAGAAATCTTGAGTGAATTGAAGTTTGTGCCATGCAACAATCAAAGCTACATTTGCCTGTGACCAAATTACCCTGCAATGCACCTGATCTTGTCAGATTTCAAAAGCGAAACACGGTTAAGCCTGTTTATTACTTGGATTTGGAGACTAGCTGGAAAAGTCAGGAGTTGCAGGCTGAAGCTATGAGGTGTGCAATATATGCAGGTACAGCAGTTAATTATTGAGTCTCTCTGTTGAACTTTGAGTGTTACCGTCTCATATGCGATGGGGTTTCCTCCAGATATTCTACTTTCCTCCCATGTGCCAAATATTCACAAATGAAATTTGCCAAACATCACATTGCAGGACCTTCTTGAAAGAGTCTTGACAGTTCTTGGATAAATGAAGGGTATTACCATTACTTTAACATTTTTGAATCACTATAGTATAATTTATAATTGTTCAAGGTGTTTTTTTACATTACTTTTTTAGCACAATCTTCCAGAAAAACTGCTATTAATTACATTTTTTTGTCATTTTTGTTGTAGGTATGGGCTACCAATTTATCTTTTCATGCCAAAGCCAAGAACAGAATATCATGCATTGTTCATTCTGTCTTTTACAGGGACTCTTTATTAGTCTGACATCTGGTGCCGCTGTCCATGATTTCTTTTTTTATTTAGAGGAAATAATTTACTTGTAAAGCATTTCCATTTAATATAGAGGCAAACAAGTGAATTGCTGTAAACAATTTTAATCACTTCCATTATCATCATCAACCATAGTTAATTCACTGTCAGATGAAGGCCTCTCCAAGCTGCCATTGTTTTTCATGATGTAGCGATGTAAAAATCCACCTTTCCATCTCTTCAGTGGGTGTACTTTCATACACATTCCATTCCTTGGCTACCACATCTTTCACTATTGACCATTGCTATTTTCCCTTTCAGCCATGATGTGTCCTGTCCAAACCCTACTTATTAGCAGTATGAATTGTCTTTAACCTGCGCCAAGTTCTCTAATCCATGCATTCCTCCTCCCGTCTCTCATTGTAATTCCCAGCATGCATCTGTCCATGTATTTTGTGCACTTTTCAATTTTACCTTCCATTGCTCTTTGCTAAATGATCACGTTTCTTGAAAACGTATGTCATAGTGGTTAGAATGTGCTGGCAGTTAATATTTATTTAAATATTTTTAGCCACCCAAGTGGTACCCACTATTGAGCAGCAAGTATGCCAAGACACGTCCAGAGCTCCGGATTGGGGTGCTGCTGGAAAACGACTCGAAAGCACAGCCAGACGCATTCCGGGCCAGAGACGCTCCACCGAGAGACGGTATGTGAACTGTATTAGCAGTGTGCATACCGACAATTCCCGCCCTTCATGCTTTGCCACCGTGGGCTGCCCTTTTTGCCCATCGTCATGTAGGTGAAGTATTTCACATGGTGATTTTTTTTCAGTAAAGTCACGTAGATAGAAAATAATAATAAAATTAATTGAATTAAAAAAAAGAAAAACACTAATGTAGACTGTAGCCTGGTTCTTAATCGGAGTGAGTACTGGAAATCTATAATGTAGACTGTAGCCTGGTTATTAAGTTTGGTGAGTGTACTGGTAGTCTATAATGTTGACTGTAGCCTGGTTCTTAACCTCGGTGAGCACTACTGGCAGTCTATAATGTAGAATGTAGCCTGGTTCTTAACCTGAGTGAGCATACTGGCAGTCTATAATGTAGACTTATCATTGGTTCTTTCAGTAATAAAAAAAACAGGTAGTGCTGTGGCAAAATGTCAATTAAAACGAGATAGTCTTGGATTGAACCCTGGCAGGCCTGCATCACATCATGTTGGCTTTTACAGAGCTTTCCAGGAGCATCTGCTGAAGGAAATGCCATTGTCATGTTTTTTTAATGTTCACTAAGTTAAGGAATACATTCAGGTTATATATAACAATTCATATTACATTTGTAGTGACTGGAATATCACTGTGTGGTGCCGGGCTTGCAAGGCCATGGCGGGATGTCTACTGTTGTGTGTACATCCTGGACACGGGTGTAGTACCAGCCCTAGTGGGGACTTGGGTGAGCGCTGGTTAAGCGCGGGGGCACCACGCACAGCGTGCGGTGCGGGCTCCCATTGAGAGAGCGAGAGAGTGTCGGCCAGCTAGGGTTACGTTGGGGGCATGATACTCTGGCTGACCTGGGGACATGTGACCGGATGATACTGGAGGGGGGCCACCGGTGGAGGGGGTCAACGGGTGGTCACATGGTCCGGGAAGAACTCTTGAAAGCCTTCGGGCAAGGGGTCGAGAGAGATCGAGAAGGTGGGCGGGGCGAGAGGCGGAGCCAGCCCCAGCCCGGCCCGATATAAGGGGGGCCCTGTGAGGGGCTCGGGGTTCTTACTGTTGGAGAGGCAGGAGATCCACGTCAAGCTTGAAGAAGCCTCCAGCCACACGGTCCGGGACCCAGCTTGTGGTCTGGACCAGGATAGCGGAACCTGTGTCTAGTTCCGCTGTAGCGTGGTTAGTTGGGTGGTCACCACCTGAGAGTATGTTGTGTTAATAGCCTGGAGTATGTTGTGCAAATAGTTTAATAAAGCGTGTTGCTCCCTAAGACAACATCTGCGACTCAGTTGGACTCACTACATATTTCTTAATTTTACATGCTTGAATATACCTGTGTGTAAAATATTGTGAGTTGTCTTTTTTTTTTCTTCCATTTAACGGTATTTAACAATTAATGCTAAGATACATTTTCGTAAAAATTTTCTCTGCGCCTTATTTTCCTTTCAACGTGCAATGCTCTTCTGTGTCTTTCCTCTACTTCTTTCAATGGAATCTGACAATGAAGCTCTGAAATCACCTATATCTATAACTAAGCTAATGCTTCTTTCTGGTAAGAAACCTTTTTCTCTGTTTGTGTTTGCATATTCCTTGCTATGTTGCATATTTCTCAGAACATAAACATGAAAGCCGGACGATAGGTCCTTATCTACAGTTCTAGATTTGAAGCTATCTACATGTTTGACCAAAATTCAATCTTCTCGCTATTGATGTGAACCTTTCAGCAAAACCAAAAAATTACTTTTCCTCGTCTTTATTGCATGAAGCTTTAACTTAATGTTATAAGTTAATCACAATTTAGCAACTTAATGTGTGACATTAGCTCTCCATTTACTTTGTGGTGTGCAGCACGCATTCCCAAACGCCAAGGCTCTGACGGCCGTGCTGGATGAGGAGGAAGGCTTCTACTGGATAGGTCCATCCCGCCAGGCCACTGATGTCTACGTGGTGTCAGTCACCATTGCATTTGCAGCTCATTTAGAACAGGTATGTTTTATTCACAGGGAATTGGTTAGTTAGTCCATTAAGGTTTGGAGCCAGTTGGCCTGTATTGGGCAAATCTTTTGCCCACTTTTCCACCCAGGCAACTGGAGATCACAGACTAAGGTTTTCTAACCTAACGATAAAACTAACACATATGTAAGAATCACCGTTAAGAGACAAACAACTTATATACTATGAAAAATTATGAAAATAACAAAAATACGTAAACTATCCTGCAATGAATCTTGGTCATACATGTGTCGGTTGCACATGTAACTTCATGTTTTCAAGAAGACACAACACATGAACAAATTACATTTATAAATCTATGTCCTACGCTGTAGGACACTGTCACAGGGTAACAGTTGGCATGCTCAACCTCCAACCTCCCTGAGGTCGCCGGTTCCTTCTCCTGGTGCAGCAGTTGAAACAAATGGGCAAGTTAGTGAAATCACTCCCACTTCTGCTCACCCATTTCTACATGGATACGTCAACATTAGTCAATTGGCAGATTACGTGTCGTTGAGCAATGCGTGTGTACTCCCACCCTCTCCAAAACATATGACAAGCGCGAAAGAGTAGGCCAAAATACTCTCTATAATGCCCTTTGCGCCAGGAAAATGGCATGAGCAAGTACTGGCAGGGCTGTACCTGTACCCTTATGCCTAGGCTGTGTGTGTCCTGGACTATCCAACACGAGTTTGAAACTTCATCAATAAGAAACGAGATGTTTATCTTGGTCAAGTAAGTATTTTTGGCAGCCCAGTGACAGAAATACACATCAATATGTAATGCAGTGGCAACACAAGAACACGATGGTCTAGCACCTCGCTGTTATTTAAAATATGTTTTGCTCATGAATAAAACTTCTAACTTATGGTGGACAGCTCAATACATACAGCTTAGGTTATCTATTAAATAAAAGTTAAATGGGTTTCATCTTCCTTTAGCAGGGATTTTAAACACTGTACTAACAAAACCTCCGAAATGGAGTCTGAACACGCTGCAGTTTTTGGCTTTACTTTCAGGAGAAAACCACCATATGCTGATAGTCCGAACAATAAATAAATATTTACGACCTCAGATCTTAAAGAAAGAAAAAGCAGCTGCGTTCTTATTTCTTTCTCGCACGGAGAGATAATCTCATTTGGATCTCACCTTGATAAATAATAGACTTTGAATTGGCTCAGGTGGTAAGCTCTAAAGTGCTAGGCTTGCGGCACCTGCTCTGTAATCATGTGCGTTCAACCCCCGTGCAGCTGGTGCCGAGCAGTGTGCGGCTCCCGGAGGGCAAGCCTGAGTTCTACTTCTACTACACCCTGCTGGGCAACAGTGTTGCCAACGACCCCTTCGCTGACCTCCTGAACCCCAACTTCTCGCCGGAGCGAGCCTCCCTTAAAATCCGGAGCACGGTTGATGTTTTGCAGCGCTACTTTTCCTTGCAGCCTCCAATACAGGTGAATAAGCACATAGGAACAACAACCAACCCCTCACAATTCAGAACTTTGCAGCGTTGTATGTGTAACATTTTGCAACATATCAGTATGAGTGATTGATACGACTTTCTAAACATTCTCTTTTAAAACGGTGTGCTAAACCTTGACATTGACATTCAAGTTGTGTGCATTAATCTATGGTATTGCCATAAGATTTCGGTTACTTTAATATATTTTTGATCCTGATTACAAGCGTGCTTTTGTATCCATTGTTCACGGATTTCTATCTTGACTCTGGCATGTGGCTCATACATTGTGCCTCCAGTACATGTACGCTATTTATATCAAGAGTTATGACTCAGGGATGCTGCCATGGTTATCATGGTTAGCACGCTGGATTTGCAATCCAGACGTAGCTAGGTCGATCTCTTGGTGCGGCAGCTAAAGCAATGGGCAAGTTTCTTAAATCCCCACTCCCCTTCGATCCACCCAGGAGTATAAATGGGTATACCACACATTCATAATTCATATTTGTCTCACTTAAAAATCTATTATGAATCATGATGTTGGCTGCAAAAACCTCTGTTATGTTCGAGCTGCCGGTTGTGTGTGGTGGGGTAATGTGTGGGTACTTGTGGTTACTGCCACGTCTTCTAAGACTACTCGCCGGAGAGGCTCTGTCCCCCTAATGGAGTCTTTCTGTCAGCAGAGCAAGCAATTTCAGGGCTGCACCTCTATCTATGCAATGGCCCCACACGTGCTTCTCACCGGGGAGGTTTTTTTTTCCCCCCAACACGAAATGTTGTATTTTGTGCTTGTGCAGATTCACCTCTGTTGTGGGGAGCAATCCCTAGGCAGCACGGAGGTGTCACTGGAAGGATTAGCACGCAGAGAGGTGGACATGAGACCTGTGACGGTGGAGGGGGTGTTCGCCCTGGTCCCTCCCAACAAAACTAAGCAGAAGATGCCACCACTCGCTTCCGACGAGGCTCCTTCCGTCGGCGTTTCAGTGACACTCCGGCGAGAGGGTGCTCCTTCTCGGGTACGTTAGAAATACAACAACAGTTGGCCAGGTGTTTCAAGAGGTCGGCAATGAGCCAACAAGCACCACAGGGATCCTCCATTTAAATCCAGCCTTTAGCCACCCATGATTAAATGGGTTTTTCGAGTGTAGTAAGTGGATCTCAGCTCATTCACCAATGACTACATAATAACCATCACATTAAATCAGGTTTAATTTAATGTTGAGTAATGTCTGGTCTGAGAATAAAAAATTGGTTTTCCTGCCATGGAATGAATATCTGTATAGCAGGGCATGTGGCAAAGTGTCCCCAGGTGTGGATAAAAGTCAGTTAAAGATATCTCAGAAGTAGTCTTCTGATGTTTGCTTCTGTTCGCTGCTCTTTCACAAGCTATGTCCTGCTTTGCAAAACTTCTGAATGATACTGTGAATCTTACCATGATACTGATTGCATAATTGGAATAACAAAATCTGTTATGTTCATTATCATTATGGAAAGCAGAAACAAACAGAGTTGACACTACAAATGGGAGTAAAAACGATACGAAAACAAATAATCTCTTTAAACAGAATCATGTCCCCAAATCCTGAGAGTCACTTTATTGCACGGGGGATGAATCATTGCATGCCTAGTTGGAAAGTAGAGTGCACTGTTAGCACGTGTGTGAAAGCGTGCAGAGAGTACATTCACTGTGAACCTAAAACGGCATCATTGTGCACACTTCAGGAGGCGAGTCCAGAGAATGCAACATCTAAAAAACGGCTTCCAAGCAAAGAGCCCACAAAGCCAGCCTCCCATCTGGAAGTGAGCAAGCAAGCATCTATAGGGGTGCCGCCCTCCCCACCCACCAAACAATCAGCCTCAAGCCAGCCCAAAGCACACGGCTCATCCCCTCCGCCAAGTTCTTTCAACTCTCCTGAGTGTTCAGGCCATGGAGGCCAAGCCTCCAGGCCACAGCAGCCCCGGTCTGACCATGCTACCAATGGGAAGCCCTCAGGCCAGCCGAGCCAGGCCTCGGGGCCTCCGGTGGGGCCGGCGGGCCTCGCTGACAGTCGTGGGAACAGCACAGGAAACGAGGGCGAGAGCCTGGAGGATGATGGCAAAGGAAGAGGTCGCACTTCAGGAGGTGAGTGCCGAATGAGCAACTGCAATTATGCCAGTCAAATTGTGACAACTCCCGCAGTGGATGAAACTGACAAAAATGAGGGTCGTGTTTCGACTCAATGTGTGTTTACTTTATGAAGCAAGGAGGTTTGTTATCTGTGTCTTATGTGAAGGAATGCAGGTTTGAAATGCTTTTTTAACATCTTCGCAAGTGTTTTGTGGACTAAACATTTTAATTGTTTGACGGATGTGACTACCTCTGTATTGATTTTTTACTGAATCTAAGCATGAATTTTCTTCAATAAAACATTAAAACGTGGGGTTAAATTTTTTATATAATCGGATGCCATATTTGACATGTCCACTGTTGAAAAACTGGTCGTGACTACTGCCATACTCTATTACCCCACTTTTATGCCTAACATAACTATTTTACGTTTATCTTCTCTATTGGAACCCCCCCCCCCAAAAAATCATGTTTATCTTTTAAATCACATTTGTTTAATTTCGGCAATGTAAACAATCGCAGAATTAGCTTCCGCGTGAAAATTTTTGCATTTCTTTTCTGAAGAGAGTACGAGGGCAAGCGAGCTGGCCTTGTCAGAACGTGTTAGGGTGGATGTCGGCACGACGTTCCACCCAGCGTGCATTGTTCGTACGATCGGATCGCTCCCGGGTCTGATGTCAGGTCTGATGGGATCTCTTGCAGCCCGGGCCTCCAATTATCCCAGTTTTTCAACCTCTGAGGCGTGACTGCTGGCTCATGAGTCCTGTTAGAGCGAATTGTAAACAAATGAAAGAATACTGCAAACATGTTTCGCACTACAGGAGTGATCGTTTTGTTTTCATATGCCACTTTTCACAACATTTACCAGACAAAACTTTCATAGTTGTATGTACAATAATTGCTTACTCTCTCCGTGAGTTGTAACAACCAATCACCGTTAAACCATTTGTGAAATTAAATAGTTTGTATCAGTATGGGGACATATTTGTTCATGAATTATGTAAAGTTCCATCTGTATAATTTTATTGTCATAGTACAATGGTTTTATCGTGTGTGTATTGTTTCTCGCACGTTCGTACAATATGAGTACAATTTTGGTCACTCCATTAACTTGGGGTAAAGTTAGCGCATTATCTTAAAAAATGCAAATTATAAATAAATTTAATCTCACGCACGAATCTGCATGTAACATGATTAAAAAAATGTATACATCAATTACCAACATCAATCCACTGCTGAATGAAGGCTTTCCTTCATAAAGCAGTTGTCACCATTTCTTACGGCTGCCACAATGCAACAATCCATCCAGCTCCTTCGCATGATCCGATTTTATCACTCCGTCTCCACGATGGACGCCCTCTCTGGGCTACTGATGCATGGTTGCGTGCCTAATAATTACATCCATAAAATATTCCACGACACACGTGCAAAGTGTGATGGGTCTGATGCGCAGGCCCTATTTTTTTTTACACAGCAGGGCCCAAGGAAGCTGCTCCGGTGTCCAGCGCCGCTACTGGAAGTGAGTCGGGCCTGACGTCCGGCTCACGCGTAGCCATCCCTGCCACTGCCCACCACATGTGCTTCTCTCTGGACTTGCGCAGCATCCGAGACCTGGCGCTGGACTCTGCTATCAGCTGCTTACTGCGGTCAGAATAGTAATACTAATAATGACATGTTATTTTGCCCTGCTTTGACGATCCACTGATTGGGTGAAGGTCTCCTCCGTGCCGTGTCGGCGATCATGGGGGTTGTTTGTTTGCTGGTTTGTCCGTGTTGGTGAAGGTTGGGTTGCAGAACATGTTTAACATTCTTACAATAACGGTCATAATAATGTCTGTTTAAACCTATATCTTGGTCCTTTTACGTATTAGTAATGTTTCTGTTACTCAATTTATAATTATGCTGTGATCAGTATGAAAATAATCACCTTGAGTCGATTTAAACTGCATGGTTTTTAGAAGTGTTCATTGATTAATGTTTGTGCAATATTTTCGATCCCTCATATGATACAGTTGTATTTTCTATTTGAGTCATTGCTATACTTTGTTTTTCTTTTCTTATTTCGGTGACCCGGGCCAATTTTGGAAATCACACTGTCTAGGTCTCTCAAGTTCTCACTTAGGTGGAAGAGTTAGAAATAAAATTTGCCCTTCAGTCTGTCAGTCCAGTGACAGAACTTAACCAATTTTGACATAGAGGATCAAGCAATGGCTTATTAAGAAACCAGCGACAGCTGTTGGTGATGAGCCGTTTACCACCTATGACCTTTGCCATAGGTCAAAAATGTGACCAACATTTTTACCGTGCTAACCTAATAAGTGGGGCACCGCCTGGTGGAAGAAATGGTTCGTTGCACCCCGTGTCAAAAGTTACCTTGCAGGTCAAAAATGAAGCTCAACAGGGATTCAGTTGGCTGTTACTCTGCAGTTTTTATAACAATAGTAGTTTTGAAAAAAAATCAAACCCCTCAATGGAACAGGCTGGTTACAGGCTTGTAGCATAAAAACATCATCACCAAATAGTCGGTTATTTAAAGCATTTCAGAATGGGGCATATTATTGGAGAAATGTGGACTGCAAGCATTTGTAAAACTCCAAAAGCAGCTCATCTGCAAAGTGGCCTGGAGGTGACAATACAGGAAGTGAACCTCTGAACGTATCTGAGTGGACTTTTATCACCTTGTATGCATGGATCTCTCGGTATTCCGGTTTTCTTCCACATGCACACTGATTATACACTGTGTAACAAACTTTTTTTTTGGTCCTGGATAGTAAGTGTTATTTCCTAATTGCTTATGCCTCAAAAGTACAGAAAATAGCTATTCCCCACAAACTTTGCTTTTGTGACCAAGACAGTGAGTGATATTTTGAAATGTACCTATTTTCAATGAGAAAACGTGTGCATTTGTGTCTTTCCTTCACATAAAGTGCTGGTCACAAAAGCAAAGTTTGTGAGGAATAATAGCCATTTTCTATACTTTTTAGGCATAAGCAATTAAAAATAACACTTAGTACCCAGAAACAAAAAATTGTGTTACATAGTGAATTATTAACAATGAATTAACTAAATATACATATTAATTTTTTTTTTAACCGATTGATGGTTTCTGAGATAAATTACATTACTATTACTACATCCCTTAATTAATACTTCATTAATGGCAATAAATTGTTAACTTGTGAGTACATTAAGTAAAGTGTGTCCTGACCATCATCTTCATTGTGTATGTAACAGCTGTTGTGGCAACGCTCCATATTGGTAAGTTGATTTTGGAATCAATGTCTGATTCTCGTGTTTCCACCACCATGCGCGCGTGGCTTCCCTGGTTCCACAGGTACTCGTACCCGTTCTTTGGCAGCGCTGCGCCCATCATGACGAATCCTCCGGTGGAAGTTCGGAAGCACATGGAAGTGTTCCTGCCACAGTCCTACTGCATGTTTGAGTTTGCCACCCTACCCCAACAGCTGGAGGACACATTCTACAGGCAAGCCACGACGCGTGCTGATGCCGGAATTTGCATTTCTCTCGGTGTAACAGGGATGCTGCCGAGGTGAAACGGCTATCACACTGGACTCGAAGTGGTCGTTGCTTCGATCTCCTGGCACCGCAGTTAACACATGTTTCTAGAATCCCCCCCCCTCCTCTGTCCACCCAGCGATATAAATGGGTCCACCGTGGCTGATAAAAAAGACCGGTGTGGTAAAGTGTTAGTATTTTCACCACTTTCAAGACATCTGGCCAGCATGGAAGGGCAAACCAAAATATCCTCCAGGGTGGCTTCTGGAGCTGTTTATTGTAGAGGCCTTCTGCCAGCAGTGGCCTAAGCCGTTCATTTGAGAGGCTGCATCTTTACCTTTTACCCTTGGCAATGTGGCATTGCCGGTTACTACAACACGTTTCGTCACGCTGATTTTACCATTGTGCTTAAACGTGCACAGATGGAAATTTTACTGTGTGCATTAGTGATGGATGTTATGGCTTGTAAAGTTGCAGGAAAGGTAATAAAACATTCCTCCGCCTTTGAATTTGGTACACCAAGGTTTCCTTTAAAGCCTGCTTTCACACTTCATTAACACATGTGAGAGCCAGTCCTTACTTGTTTGCTGTGTACTGAACCCACCTGGTTATGTAACACAATAACCTCCATTAGATGGTGTTCGTTAGGGTGGTGTGACTTTATTGGATGGTAGCAAGCATTGGCGGTCAAGTATTGATGGGCCTCCAAATTTTTTTGCTTCTTTTGCCTTGGCTCCATATCCACTCCAAAGTACATTTTGTCCAGTGATGCGAGTGTTATCTTCAGGCCAATGGAACAAATGAGACGGAAGAAGCAACACTCTTATGAGACAGACATTACAAACGATACGAGATAATCGATTCTCAAATGGAATTCCAGCACCGAATTGTGACAATTCACAAAATCACGAACCAAGCACCGGCCGGTGGATCGTAACGTGCCAACGCACGGTCGCCCGTGCCTCTGCCCCGCCGCCGCAGGGTGCCGTTGGTGGTGGAGTTGTGGCACCGCGACCGGCTCACCAAGGACAGCCTTCTGGGCGTGGCGCGCCTCCCGTTGTCCCACGTGCTCACGACGGAACGTGCACGATTCCTGGCGCCCGACGGCGGCCAGTGCTGGAGGCAGGCGTACGGCGACCGCGCGCCCGTGCTCGCCACGCACGGGTGGGTAAGGCGAAGGAGCTGCTTTTAAACCAACGCTAAAAGCACGGGGGAAATAGCCCACAATAACTCGGGCGCGGACACTTGGGAAGTTGTGGGTAGTTGTTGGTTATCGCTTAGATTGGAGATCATTGTGACCCATCATGTGCTGATGCTAACATACGTCTATGAGAGTGAATGAGCTCGCTTTAGTTAACAGATGCCTATGCAGTGGAGCAGCCGCACGTTTGAAGTTGGGGTTGGGCTACGAGCAAATGGTTCTCCCTGAGCTTATTGGTTAGATTACAGATTGGTATCCATGAAGTTGGCCCCACCCGCTTCGACACGGATAGGGGAGTTCTATTGCCTTAAGGTTATATTAAAGCTCCGCATATACTGACTATTGAGCCTAATGTTTCATCATTGCCATTGATGTCACCTTGCTGAAGGGAGAAAAATGCTGACGAAAAAAATACCATGATTTTTTTCAATGTTTATGGCTGTTTCTTTTCCATATCGAAATATGTTGGGGGTGTCCGGACAACGAGAATAGAGAAATTACACTTATCTCGCCTTTGTAAAGGTTAGAAATTCAAAAACTGTTAACTCTGCACATTTCCCTTCAGATCGAGTGAAAAAATCGCAGAGTTAAATTACACGATGACTCTCGAAGACCGCGGAACTGTGAAGACCCAGCAGGTCTTAATCTCAGAGCACTCGCAGGTAACCACATTGGTGTGACATCGTGGGGTGCAGTGCAATCAATGTCCTATAGAGGGTGGTATTTTATTGCCAGAGATTACACCAGTGGTTCCCAACCTTTCTGGCCCTATGGACCATTGTTATCATCTCCTAAAAAATCAAACTGCAGATCTCCACGCAGTAAAACATTGTGTTTTGTAAAAAAAAAGAAATCATAGTGTCTGCAACAATTTGGTGGACCACTTCCTATGGCCTTGTGTATGTATGTTGGACTTCTGCTTTAACTGTAGGCTCTGAATATACCTGTCTGGTTGCATATAATGTATCAAATGGAGCTTATTTGGACTTAAAAAGGTGCACTTGGCATTAACACAGCATATAAAGACTGTTTTTGTATCCTGGAATGAAATAGTTTGAATCCTTTCGATTTTAAATTGAATAAACAATGCATATTCCTATAAAAGTAAATATAAAGCCTAGTAATTTTTAATCCTGTAAAGATTTTTTTTAAACATTGTATGAATTAATGAACTTAACTATGCTGCCATGGTGTAATGTATAACACACGGCATTCACAACCCAAAAGTTGTTGGTTCGATCCCTGGACGTGGAACTTTAAATAATGGTGCAATTTTATAAAAATTTCCCCACCTCTGACCACCCAGCATTATTAATCGGTCCGCTACAGTTCGACGATCGGCAGATCGGTGGGGTAAAATGTGGGCACTCCCACCTCTTCTGAAAGGTTTTGCCAGTGTGGAAGAGTAGGCCAAAAAAAACTTTCTCAAAGGACTGCCTGGAGCTTCCTTTATTGGAGGATCTTCTGCCAGCAGTTGCACTGAGCAAGCTTTTGCACGGCTGTTCCTTTACCTTCCCCAGGAGGAGCGGATTCCTCTCAGGGAGGCTGCACGTACCCGGCCCGAGCCGGCCCCCGCCGTGGCGGTGGTCAAGGAGCCCAGGCAGAGCCAGGAGTACCAGGCGGCTCTCGAGCTGGAGATGTGGAAGGAGACGCAGGAGGACTTATTTGAAAACCAGGTACCTAACCCAGCATATATATCCAGCACATCGTACACATTTTTGCTACCATCATAATTTACTGTTCGTGTCGTCCCTCCCTTGCGGCACATCTTGACGCACCAGAGCAAAGGATTCTTGCAGATAATAGCTCGGTTAGGTTTCGAAATTTCGCATATCTACACAATCCACTCGAGAGCTTTGGATCGCAAGCGTGCGTCACCCTGCCCGACTTATAATAGTGCTATCGAGCTTTTGGAATTAACGTTCTTCACAGTTGCTGATTATGCACTGTTTTTAATGGCAAAACCTGGGTGTGCTGTGATTATCTGATGATTGATCACTGCACATAGGTCTGCATGTGATTGCGCAGCAATGCAATGTGGGCATGGAAAATTTTTTTAAAAATGTTAATCAAGTGCAGCAGCCAATGACTTAACCATTAATGAAATACATGGTACAGCACTGGTGGTTTTCATTATATAACAGAAATCTAAAATGTAATCATTGCAGGGTTTTTCTGACACTGAATAAGTGTTTACCTGCGAATGTAGCCTTGTTAAAAATCAGAAACTGCCCTGTTTTTCTGTGTTGATTCGTAACCTCAGCGCCTCTTAAATGAGCATTATTCTCTATAAATACAAACCAGACTTTAAGGCAGGTCCCAGGAATGCCATGCGTCTCAATTAGAAATGTCAATAGCTGTGAGCCGTGAAGTACAAATGCTTCTTGCTTACTAAGGCACGTCGGTACGACAGCCATATCTAACTTCAGTTGAGGAACTTCATTTTCAAAATGTATTGTCAAAAAATTGAGTTCATTTTTTGTTAAACATTTTGTATGCAAATTGAACCACGTGACAAGTGCTCTCACATTAGTAGGTGTTGTTTTGCTTGTGACAGACGCAATGAATTGCAGTTGCATCTTCGGCGGCGTGCGATTACCGATCGTTGTTTGTTAACAGCTGAAACAGAAGGAGCTCGTGCACATGCAGGCCTTGGCGGAGGAGTGGAAGAGAAGAGACAAAGAGAGGGAAGCCTTGGTCAAGAAGAAAGTACGTGAATCCCACTGTGTGTGTTTGTTTTTGCGGTTGTGCATTGTAGCTCTCCTGTGTGTGTTTTTGGGGTTTTGTGCCCGTGTGTTGTGCACCATGTTGGCTAACGTTTCGCTCCACGTGCTGAAGAGGCTCCCCGGCACGTGGGGCGAAACATGGGACATCTCGCATGAGGTCGCAATGGGGTACCCGATACCCGTACCCTACCCGATACCCGGCTACCCGTACCCGGCCGGGTATGGGTACGGGTACCCGTTTGCGACCCTGGTGCGGCCGGGTACGGGTAGGCCGTGAGTCACTGGTGAGTAACCGTTTGTCACTCATTTCCCAACGTCTTGTCTCTTCTCACAATTCAAGTTCCTAGAATCAACCCACCCGCGCCTGCAACATGGATTCATCCCAGAGGTCGCAATCGGGTACCCGTACCCTACCCGATACCCGGCCGGGTACGGGTAGCCGGGTATCGGGTAGGTTACGGGTACGGGTACCCGTTTGCGACCCTGGTGCGGCCGGGTACGGGTACGGGTAAGGAATCAAAACCCGTTTGCGACCTCTGCATCTCGCCGAACAACACGTGGTGCGACCCCAAAATGCATCGGGGAGCTATAGGTGAATCCCATTTTGGTTGTAAAGATAATTATTTAGAAATATATATAAAAAATAAAGTGATTACACGTGTGTGAGTCACTTTCAATGAAAATGAACATCTAAGACGAATAAGCACTTCTAGTAAATGTGCCTCGGATAGTTCAACGCTTAAGCAATTGTGTATTGGTCATAAATCAAGCTAGTTACATCATTGGTGTTTTCCAATTGTACTGTATGCAAGTGAAACTTGGGTGATCAATTAACTGTCGTACTGCAGAAGACAGTTGCGTAACCCTTGGACTGCGAGAAGAACCCGTGAAAGTTGACTATCAGAGAGTGCTGGAAAAGCTAAGAGATGTAGCTAGGTGTGATGGAGAAAACGAGGAGACTGTTTGTGTTTTGTCAAGTGGAAGACAAAGGGAATAAAGGATTGGTCCTAGGTTCAGTCGGTCGGTTTAATGGTCAGGTGACCGGTCTGTAATGGGGGCTCTGGACAATAAAAGATGGACTGACTCATTTCTGAAAGGGTCTAAAGACAATAGACCGGTCTCTGATGACATCCTGACACAATGATAGACAGAGCAGTCTTTGGATCGTGTTGTAAATGTAACACCGCCTGAAAGTTTACCAGTGGTAAACAAAATGCCAAAATCGCACAGAGTGGGGTAGCTTCATCATTGGGGTGAGGGGTGCTCGGTAATGAACAGAATGACTGACAGATAATTGTGTTGACAGGTTGCAGAGTATTCCATTCTTGAAGAAAAACTGCGGACGACGCTGTGCGACCTCGAGAGGCGGGAGAAAGAGCTCGTTGCAGGGGAACACGAGGTGAATGCCACAGATGTGCAATCCACAGTAGATAAAACCAGCCCTTGGTTGCACCCCTTACACACACAGCTGCTGAACATAACCTCGTGGATTTTTTTTTTTTTACAAACTGCTAAAATGCTATCTGTTTTCTGCATTAATATTGTGTTAAATGCACCTGATTTAATAAAACTTCGAAAGGTAAGCAGGCTTGAATTCTTAGTCCGTGGATGGGAGACTAACTAGGAATTCCAAGTGACAGTAGAACAGCAATGTTTTCTGTAAACTGGGATTTATCTGCCTTTATCTTGGCACTCCAGTTAACTTGCGTAACACTCGCGAAGATAATTGGTCAAGCATCCCAACAATGCAGGACTCTCCTGAAAAAAGTCCTGAGACACACAGAGACTTTCCTCGGTGAAGGGCATCATCAGCATCGCCTGTCAGGGCTACAAAAAGTCAATAAAAGTGGCCAGGGCGGATTTCTGTTCGGAACGCCGCGAGGCCACGGAAGTGCCGTATGAATGAGCAAGCGATCCTCGCTCTCTGCGCCGAGTGAGTGAGCGATTGAGCGATCCTCGCTCACCCCTTTGTGCCGCGCTCTGCAGCTCCGGCAGCTGCAGCGGGAGCTGGAGGGGGAGCGGCAGCGTGCGCAGTTGGAGGCGGCGGACCGCGTGCGCCGTGCGCACGAGGACTGCAGTCACCAGATCGAGCTGGAGCGGCTCAAGTTGGCGCAGATGGAGGAGGCGCGCGGCCACTCACTCACGCAGGTGAGCGTGCCCTCGTGTTCATCTGAAACTTAGATTGAAAACTAATTTCTTTAGAAAGAAGTTCAACATGCATACATACAGCGACCTCGCCTGGTAGACAGGAGGCTGCGTGGGTTTGATCCCGGCCCTGACGCCTGTTGTATATTTGGAGATTGTGTACCTCTCTTTCCGTGGTCGCAGAGATTTTTCTCCAGGTCTTCCGATGTTTCCCTCCACATGTAGAAACATTCGTTTAGAGTATTTGGCTGCAATAAATTTCCACAAGATGAGCCACTTGGTTGAGCTCATCATTTGTGGCCAAGTCGCTTCTGAAAAAAAGCTATATAGCTCAGTGGGCCTTACCTGGTAAAATAAAAATTGTTTATTCTTTTTTTCAATGCATTCACGCGGGTGAGCTCGCCTGATGTCCTTATGCAGTTGCACTCGTGCATACGCACGTGCCTGCATAAACGCATTTACTTAGTTTCGCTCACCCACTTGCGTGCGCAGGTAAACTGGCCTATGCACTCACGCTGATGCGCTCAATTACGTACCACGTGAGCCCGCCCACACTGTCATGCAGTTGCACTTACCTGCGTCCACGTGCCAATGTGCTCAACTATCCCCACATACACATGTGCGCACTCAGGTGTACATGCTCGCTGGTTCGCGCACACCAGTCTGCGCTGTTGCTGCTTGTTCCACAAGCCTAGGTGTTTCCGCATTCTTTGCAGTCACTGAAGTTGTTCCCTTGGCTGTGCAGCTGCTGTTAGATTGCTCAAATTAGTTTCTTACTCGTTGAAAATCTAATTCTCTCCGTATGTGTAAAAAATGTATATACCACAGTCAGGTGGGTCCAGGTCATGTGTGGTGGGTTGAAGTGTGGGTATTCACATATTTTTCAAGACTTCTAGCCAGCGTGGAAGAGTAGGCAAAATACCCTCTACAGAGGGTCCCTCTTGAGCTCCATCTCGTGGAATCCCTACCACCAGCAGTGGCTTGAGCAAGCAGTTTTAGCAGCTGCATCTTTACCTTTTTGGGGTACTTTTTTTTTTGAGACCATAAACTCACTCCACTTGAAAATGCAATTTAATCATGGGTGGCTGCCCAGATTTGGACACCCGATCTCAGCAGCACTGTCTCAGTGGTCTGACATATTAGTCTCCTGAGCTACCCGGTCAGCCACCTCACTTGCTGCAAAACTCTGCTTGGCTCACGAGAAACAAAGAGCATTGCAATGTCAAATTAAAGCATCGAAAAATCAACAGTGTAAAATTCAGAGAAGGTTTTAAGTTACATCGACACAATTACCACACGAATGTAACGTACAGTCACTTTTAATGCTGTGCCTTCGTCCTTAATCCATTCTAATGTACGATTTAAATCAAAAGGATTTAGTACAAATTCATAAGCTTTACACAGCTGCACGGAAAATATCATAAATTGATGTCAATGCTGGGATTGGTATAGGGTTCAGAAAATGGAATTTGCTTTTGCCATGGGCATGGATCTTTAAGTGAATGCAAACTCCACATTATTCGGCACAATAATCAATGCAATGTTTTATGGAAAGACTAATTGGTTGGCACAGCATCAATCGATAATGAAACATATCTAGCACATTTTTTAACATAAAAATTTGCATTTGCCGGGAAGTCGTGGCATTGTTATCATGACAAGATCGAGAACAATATTGAAAATAATTTCCCATAAAAAATATGCATATGATTAATTTAAAAAATTTCAGTGCCTGATCTCTTGCAACAAATACATTCTTCTTGGCATTATTAACACTCATGTGGGGTCTACTGTCTTCCTCGTACTTTTTATCCACTTATTTGTGTTCTGGGCCATCTCCAAGTCCACTACACAGTCCTTCGCACGCTGGTTACCAATTGGACCACCTCTTAATGCCTGTCCGACCCCACCCCGGTGGTTTCCTGTTCATCACCTTCTGATGTGATTCGCAACGAATTAAATGGTCACAGTTTAAAATTCCACCCAAACTCAATCGCAAACACGCCTCGTACTCATAGCTCTCCCATGTGTTTTCGGGTTCTCCCGCGTGCTGTTCGGCGTAATGTCTGACATTTGGCTGCATGCGCTGGAAACGTCGGACATCGTGCCAAACAACACGCATTGCGACAGGGGAACCCGCTGGAGAGTCATGCAACGCAACGGAGAAAACCCCCCCAATAGTTCACTAAACACTTGCAGCCTCACTTTCCGTTCAACCGCTTGCGCAGCACCTGACTTCCTCGCTGCGTGCATGCGAGCGCAGCTGCGAGAGGCTGAGCAAAGGCATAAGGCGCTGGAGCGAGAGTTCCAGCAGTACCGCGAGCAGCAAAACGTCAAGCCAGAAGTCCGTCTTCAGTCCGAGATCAACCTGCTCAACCTGGAGAAGGTAAGAGAGTGACCAGAGGCGACGGGTGAAAATATTTATTCAACGGGGTGGCTTTGAAATGTTTTTTAAAGATATTTTTTAAATATTTTTTTTTGTACAATATTTGTTTTGGAAAATGTTATTCTGAAAAATAAAGTGTGCAACGTTGCCACTGGTAGAGCACGTTTCTGCTCCCAAGAGCACGGGTTCACTGATTGTATCAGTCCGCCACGTGATCTGCTCGTGGTGATCTTGCCCTCTGTTGTTTTTTGGACTTTAATTGTCTAAACGTATATGAATTTGCTCATGTTCACCGATTGCGTCAGTCTACAACGTGCGCTGCTAGTGGTGACCTTGCCTTTAGAGATTTGACAGCGTATGTTGGTTTAAGTGTTAGCCCGAGCCACCTGTGGGAGGGGCACACCTTGGCGCTTTTTTCTATCATGAGATTTAACCCCCATCAGTGCCGAAGTCGCAATTCTAGTGCCACGTGCAAATGTCTTCATACTCAACAAACACTCAGGTTTAGTGTGTTTGGTTGTCGATGTTTCCAAAATGCCATCGCTCGGCTAATCGCCATGTTTTTCCTGCACAGGTTGAGCTGGAACGTAAGCTGGATTCAGCCCTCAAGTCCAAGCTTCATTACAAACAGCAATGGGGTCGTGCGCTGAAGGAACTGGCCAGGATTAAGCAGGTACAGATGCTCCATCCGACATTGCACAGTCTTATTTTTCATTCAAAGCCATTCATCTTTTACCCACTGTACTCCACCTCAGCCACACGCCTTGGCAAAATGTTTCAATCGTCCAAATAGGCAACTGCGTTGGATGTGCTCACAAATAAATAAGTAAATGCACACGAAGAATTTGTGTATTTCTTGAAGTGCCAAATGAATCAAGGATTTGTCTCGCTTACCGGTAATTGACGTGGCAGCACAGATGGCCTTAATGAGCAGCCAAATACACCAGTTATAAAAAAAACGGAACATCTTTGTTTACGGCTGGAATGGTAAACCCATCCAGATCAGGAGCCACTCAGCGCTGAGGTTCGTCGTGTGTGGGATATCCTCCTCCGCAAGCGCGCACTAACCCTAACCCCACTCGCTGTGTGTTCCTGTCCACATTCCCATTCTCCCTTGTACAAATCTATCACATCAGGTGCCATCAGAACCCAACAGCAGCCGACCTAGACGTGACATCTTACAGCTGTTGGCAGCACTCGACTGTTACAATATTGCTTTGTGGCTCAGTCATTCGGTGATCACTATGACTAAACTAATTATTTGGGTGATGCTGCGTTGGCAGTGGGTGCAAATGCACAAATAACAAAAGACACATTTGTCAGTAACGCTGCATTACAAGGAAAATAAAAACATGTAATAGGCGACTAAACGAGTGAAACTACATGGTTCAGTAGACCGTTGAACAAAAACGTTACAGTAAAACAAAGGTTAATAATTGCACTTACCATTAGCATATTGTACATATATCCTTACATTGCATAAGGATTAATTATGGTTAAATTAACGACAGCGAGAAACCTAGCCTTTTTTCTGGTGTGTGGCATTATGCGTTATTAAACACAGCTTGTTTATAATTTGGAATGCTCCCAACACATACGATATGCACAATAGGCCTGGATGCTGTCCATAGAGCACATATGTTGTGGGAGATCAGTTGGGGGTTGTGGATGCTGTGGCTGGTTTCCAACAACGGTCGGGTTAGGGAGGGTCACAGTTTCCCCTATCTGGACACAGGGTCGCATGCAGATGACCCTCAGAGCTGAAGCTTTCACCTTTTGTGGTTGATGTACATAGTTCCGCTTATGAATTCCTAAAACGATTAGCAAGGCAGAATGGCTGTTGGCCCCCTTTATATATATACAAAAATGTGTGCTTAAGTACTCAGAATGTCCTACCTCTCCATCAGACTGATGGTGATTTGAACTCAAATAATTAATTGACAGTACCATGGTCATATGCACATTGCACTGCCAAGCGTTTGTGAGCTATCCTAATAGTAAATGCCACCACTTCTGGTCACCTGACCCACATCACAACTAAATAGTGTGTTTGCCTCAACAGTGTTGTTCATATTTTCTATATACAGCCCTTTTTTTTCTCTTTGTTGTAATTTTCACCCAATTGTATACCGATTGTGCCATCGGCGTCATGTCACGAGACAAAGCATCCATTCGGATCTCTCGCAGAGTCGTGCAATCCCAATAACACAAGCACATCCCTAGCATGCATACGCGCACTTTGTTCTGGACGAACATCGGGGCTGCCACGTTCAAGCTTTTTATTCTCACATTAGAATTTAAAACGTGAGTGCGTCCCACTCAAATCTGTTTAGTCTAATAGCATGATGTTTACACAGGGTATTATAACAATGATATAGTGACGCGTGCTTGCCAGTGCAGAACATTTCACGTTCTCTGGGACCAATGACCTTCTGAACGTGTCTTCTTTGCAACAAAAAAAAAATTGGGTCTGTTGTTCATCCCAGCTGGTTTTGCCGTGGCCGTTGCCAAATTCGAAACGTTTTTCTGTCGGGGAAGAAATATGTTGGCTCGCTCACGTTTACATTTTTTTGCAAACTCGCAGACTAACAGTGCTAACAGATCACGGAGGAGGGACGATTGAGGCTGTAAATTTCCTCGGCTTTATTACTGACAACGCAGGGCACTTGGTCAGATGCCACCAAAATGCATGGGGATATGAACCACATGGTTTTAAAATCGCATACACCACATTCCATTTTCTCGAATTTTTTAGAGACCCTGATATAAAGTAAAAACTCAACGTCTTCATTACATCGTCATATTTTACGTCTCGTCCTTGATTTAACTTCCTCGACAGTTGTTTTTGGCCAGACTTGTTTAAATTATCGTGCTTCCCCCCCCCCACCCTTTTGTTATTCATAAACACTGTTTCATGTATAGATTATGTAAGTATTAAACTAATTCCAGCATAACGGAATCTTATAAGCAGACTTAAATTTCCGTTGCTCGCTGTCTAAAACATCAAAGTTCAATGGCAGTTCCTAAAACATGGCTGTTTGGATGGCAGCGATGGCGATGTAAATTTCGTCTCGCATCTCTTTTTAGCGCATTTTAAATAAACGAAAGCTCGCACTCCGGCAGCGCCGCCCGCCCCTGTAATTCAGCTTACGTGTGCATGCACATGCTGAGCGTTGCAGAGGTCACGATCGAGGAAGCAGCGTGCACACAGATTAAACCCAGGAGGCTTTCTCCTTTTTTATGTTAACACCACTGCCTGACCATCTCAAAACCTCTAAAACAATCGTTTGTCTCACCTATCCATTATCCTTGCCCAGGACGGCCTCGGGGAACCAAGCCAAGGCCTGACGGCAGGGCTGAGTGATCGGCGCGTGTTGCCGCAGCCCTCTTTGATAGTCGCCCTGAAATTTAATTCTGTTATTTTTTTGCATGTAATTAAATACATGATGTGTGCGAGTGGATTTTACATGTTTGCTTAAATGAAGAAGAAAAAAAAATAGGAAATGTTAAAGTTTAAAATTATAATTTCTTCATCCATGTTATGTGCTGAACATGCTCCTATTCTTTCACTTGTGAATACGTCTCGGGAACATGCATTCATGTATTCAGTGGAGCAGGCAAGTAGCTATCACTTCTAGATTTGAAGCTTTCGTGACTGCAATGATTCATATTCTTAGGTTTTTTCGGTAAAGTCACGTAGGTAAAAACATTAAAAAGTAAAATAAAATAAAAATCACGACGTTTCGGAGGCAACACAAGCTTCCGTTTTCAGGTGGTACCGTCACAGCCACGACAGCTGTATCAAGTAAATGAGAGATTGCAGGAGCTACCACTCCGTTTATATAATGGTTGGAGAAGGTGGTGGGGCAAGGGCCGCATACTTTTTATTAATATGGTAAGGTGAGGCTTAAGACGAAGAATAGACTATCACTTGTACACGTATTTCCCGCAGAGGTCTTCTTAATCAATCCCAATCACACTGTAATGGAAAAGTGTCATCACTTTTTTTGCCCTATCAAAGTGCATTTGTTTTATAAACCAAAAGTATATCATGAACGATTGTATACGATAGACTGCAAGCACAGTTTCAAGTAATGAATGACTCCGCGCACATGCAGACACGATCATTGGGACAAGCACTGTTAGCAAAGTCCTATAAATGGTGATGTGGCACTTTGAATGGGTGGGTGGACCAGCACCATGCCCAGCCAGCCGGCGTAAGCGCTCCAGTGCAGTTAAAAATATAATTCCTATTATTCATCGTGGAATGAACTGCGCAGCCCATTCGGCTTCAAACGATTCAACCCCTCAATTCAATCCTCTTCAGATTTCGATGCATCGTTATGATTCCAAAACGTGATCTGATTAAAGATTAAATCCTATTTTTGCCTCATTTTACCAGTTTTGTTTACAACATTAGCCAAATGTACCTTCAGCATATTATTTTCATGAATTGTAAATGATCGATCTTGCTTCCACGATTATATGCGTGTTTTACGATTGTATGAATCATTTGTGATCAATGCATTGTTACAGAGGTAGTGTAACGATGCAAGTACCGTTAGTGAGTGCCTATTAAGGCCGGCAGGGCACACGAGGGTATGGGTGGCCAACACCATGCCTGGCCGTCTTTGTTGTTACCCCAGTGCTGATGTGTTTACACACTGCACCAGGTTCTCATTTAAGGCTGAGTTGCCTTAGGAGGCCCAGGACAGGTTCAGATATTCTCCACTGTTATTGGTTGTAAGTGGGAATTGAACTCGGGTCGCCGGATTCGTAGAGCAGTGCAGCGCTAGTAAACACTCACCCTTGCATCTGCTACTCAGCTCTGGACACCTGCTGGTGTGTTCCTTGTACCCGTCGCCCTAGAGGGAGCAGGAGAATGCTCTGGCGAGGCTACACAAGCAGCAGACGGAGCTGGAGCACATGAGACTGCGGTACCTGGCGGCCGAGGAGAAGGAGGTAGTGAGGGCCGACCGCCAAGAGCTGGAAGGCATCAAGAATGACCTCAACAGGTGAGCTCTTCCCTTTATTTCCTCCGGAGGATTACGTGTCCACTGAGCATAGATCACTACCTATGTACCCAGGTCGCTGTGATCAAACCATCATACCACTGCAAACGTACTTAGACTGGTACTCGCGCACAATGCATCTGCCCTGGACACCCGGTGGTATAGAGTTCTCAAGAGCCTTCCATCTACTCTGATCCCCCCCACCACCACCCCTCTTCACCTCACATCAATGGGCTTCTTAAGACCTAGCTCGGGAAATATAAAACAAATAAGCAGACGGTATGCCTCGCTTGCATAAATTATCGGCTCAAATTTTCCACCCTCTATACAGTTGTAAATGTTTTCATTGCGAAACCTTCGCTGTAGTTTTCAATATTTTCAACGAGCTATCGCTTCAATGACTGCACGGCAAATTTGTAATCGCTTCAATTTCCCTGGGTGGCTCTGTAACGCTACATGCTCTGCCTTTTTACCCTCCTTCCTGCTGAAACTACCGTGTAGCTCACAGTGTCTGGCCATGTGCTTTCTTGTCCGGAGACTAATTGGCCACCGAGACCCGCTGTCCAGTGTCTGCTTTAATCAGGTTTGATGCGTGGGTCTCGTTTCGGGATGGATTGCCAGCAGACTACAAGTGAGAATTCGCAGGCAGAGTCCGCAGTGCGTCGGATCCCCGGGACGGATAATAAAATAGTTTTGTAGAGCAAGTTTGGCAGCTTTGGCAGAGCTTGGTAATGGGGCATGACTAAAAAAGAGAAATTGGCACCTTCCCGTTGTAACCTGTTAAGCCAACTTTCAAGGGAATGCTCGTGTTGCTAAAACCATTATTCAATAAAGGCAGTCCTGTTCCTGTGCTCGCTAGACATTCCTCCTGGGACTTGCAGACAGCCGCATACATTCTGAACTACGTCCTTAGACGTGTAAAAGGGCAGCTAAAATTTGCGAATGCATACAAAGAATGCGTGCATGAGAAGTGGTAGGGAGGAGAGAGGGGGGTTTGCGCCTCACCCCCTGAATTGCGTACGGCAATTTGTTCTCGAACTTTGTTCGGTCCTCGCCTACGAACTTCCTTTGTGAGGCGGCGCTGCCTTTTCACACTGCGTCCTCAGTCAGCTGTTTGTTTTCACGCTTCTTCTAAGTCACCACGTAAATCATGACTTTCTCAACCCAGAAAAGCCAAGCCTATCAGTGGGTCATGACCCGCGGTGCGGGGAATGGCTGCGTTAATGATTTTGGCGCAGAGCTGAAGTCATTGAGCTCAAACGTTGCCTATATTTAACTCGAGACCATAACTCTTACGTGTAGATACAGTACGTACACGTGGGGCGGCTAGTATATTTTCTGAAAAACGGAAGTTAAAAGAATGCAAAGCCTCTATTTTAATACGATATCGCATGACATCAATACAATTTTCTAATAGGTGCATAAATCTCAGGCTTCAAAATAACATTAACGTTTGATGGTCAACATTTTTTGTAAAATGCTAATATCAGTCTTGTAAATGTTGACATCTGGTATATATGCAATGGTGATATATGTACATACAATGTAGTTTTCTTATGTTAATAATATATAAATGTGGTAGAGGAGGTCAAATTCTCTCATTAGGGCCTCTCTCAAGCTCCCTCAAGTGGAGGCCCCTTCTACCAGCAGCAGTGGCTTAGACAAGCAATTGCAGGGCTGCATCTTTATCTTTCACCTGCTATTTCACAAAAAACAGAGTCGCGTACAAACCTTGTGTGACTTGGGCTTGACATTTACTGCGCTCACATCTGCCCGCAGACTAAAACTTCAGGAGCAGCAGAAGGAGCCTGGACCGAAGCCAGCTCAGCTGCTGCTCGACACCGCTGCCGCCGGTGCTGCCCCGCGTGCAGCCATCGGGGGGCACGGGAGCGACGGCGCCGCCGAGGAGAGCCACGACGCGCACCTCACGCGCCTCATTGAGGAGAGGGACACGCTGCTCCGCACGGGCGTCTACACGCACGACGACCGCATCATCGTGGAGCTCGACCGGCAGATCCGAGATGCCATCTCGCGGCACAACGGCAACGTCGGCCACGCGGGCCCCACGGGCCCCACGGGCCACATCGGCCACACTTGAGGCGGCCACGGCAGCGGCGGCGGCAGCAGCAGCAGCAGCGTCTTTCTCACTGTGGAGAGGGGAGCAAGCCGTGTAATAAGTGGGATTGGCTCTGAATTCCCGCGGCAGACTTACCCCCGGGATGAGCCAGGAGTGGGCTGGTGACCACGCGGCTTTCCTTCTTTGCTGCACTCTTGTAAACTTGTCACCTGACCTGACAGCGGAACCAGTCGTGACGTTACGGAATTGACACAGGAGAAAGTCATCGGTGTCTCTCACTTTGGACAACTTCAGGGTCTTGTTTTTGTTTTAAAAAAAAAAACAGTTAAAATTACAAACATAATAGATCTTAGAACTGGGATCGCGTAACCTAACCCAAGCGTGCGTTAAGCCTTGTTAATTTTTTTTTATTTTGATCGCTTCCCTCCGGCCGTAGAGGGGGGGTGGGGAGAGGGTGGGAGTGGGGTAGAGCAGGAGTTGCCGTTCCCATGAAGCGTTGGGATAAGCCTGGCACGGCTTGAGTCCGCAATAAAACAGCCGTGCAAACGTGGCATTACACAGGCAAGAGACCTCCCTTCCACGGCTGCCACGTGCGAGGGGGCACATCTGAGGACCAAATCTGAGACCACTAACCCTCAATTGATAATTAAATTCAACACATTGTTTTACGTGGATAAAGCGTGTGTTGTGTAGCTATGCAGTTATTTACAGATCAATTTAAAGTTTTCATTTGGCGATATCTCCAGGTTGTTGAAAAAAAAACTTCCAGGAGGTGTGATTTCTATCTACCACAATCAGAGAGGTTTGTGTGTGATGTTGGTACATGGTCATGTCTATGCCCTGCAAGAGCTTTTATCACAAACACATGCCATTAATCTAACGGCTGAGTTCCACTTTGCATTACATTATTAGTTTTGCATTATGCGTCTCAATCAACACAAACAACTGGGAGTTAAACACTAAAATGTTGTCATTTTAAACATTCATGGATTTAAAGTGTGCGAATTGTAAAGTGATGTTTTCCCGAGTGTGTTTGATTTGATCTCGAGTTGTTCGGTTGTTTTTTACTTCTTGAGTTGTAAATTTTAAAGTATTTTTCAATAAACTTAAATGTTTAGTTTTAATTGTATTACAGAGCAACTCTGTTACAACCTTGATTGTATAACCCAGGGGTCGGCAACCTACGGCTCCGGAGCCGCATGCGGCTCTTTACGGGCTGCTTCTTGACGATATGTACGTATGTACAGTATGTACTCAGATGCATTGCGGCTCTTGAAATACTGAATTTTGTACCGAATTGGAAAGAAATGGCTCTTCTTGTTATTTTGGTTGCCGACCCCTGGTATAACCTATTGCATTTCATAGGTGAGCATGACCATTTTACAATGCTGCTTTCCTTACAAGATGCCTGCCCGTGGTGTAATGGTTCGCACACCTGGGCTTGCTGCTGTCCAAGTTCGATTTTCTGGCGCAACATTTATGAAGAAATTGGCAAGTTTCTTAAATCCCCCCTTCCCTCTGTCCACTGAGCTTGTTGTAAGTGGTACACCACAGTTAGTCAATGGGCAGGTCAAGTGTTGTGGTAGGTTAAAGTGTGGGTACGTCCAGTTCCAAGAAGTCTTGACTATCGTGTGAAAAGTCTGCCAACAATATCCTCGAGAGAGGCTCATGGGAGCTCCCTCTAATGGAGGCTCTTCCGCCAGCAGTGGTGTGAGCCGGAAATTGCAGGACTGTACCCATGACCTTGTTTACTTTTCCAGAAATGTTTTACAAAATAAATGATACTTGGCCATTTTTTTTGTCAACAATAACTAACGAGCCTTTTCGAATATCCTAAACGCTGCCCACAAGTACTTAGAAAAAAAAATCTACTTTTAGAAAACATTTTGGTGAAGTCCAGGCATTTCACTTTTCTTCAAGACGTCCTATCCGCCGAGCATTTGCTATCGCTGGGTGAGGGAATCCGACATCGATAAAAGCCGGTGAGCGCTCGTCCATGTTTCCAGCGTTCGTAGGCTCGGTGTGCCCTGTGGGGCTGCTGCTCATGGCTGCTGGAAGAGCTGATAGATGGCCTGGCAGTGCTGTGGGCTGAAGAAACATTGATAGATTTAAGAGCCACCCAAAGATGCCTTAAAGACGATCGCATAAATCCATGAAGGAAATGCCGAGCCAGTCCAGGGCGGTTTATCTTGCGCCCTCGTACTATTTTCACTCAGAAATTTCAGCCTCGATAAATATTGTCCTGTTTAGAAATTACGACCTGAATAAATTTTGACTCTTAACCTGCAAATGCAGCACGGTATATGTATGTTCCTAACATGGAAAACTTTTACTTTCTGAAGAATTGTGTTAAATTTAAATGTGGGGATACTCATGTGATCATGCTTTAGTAGACTACACAATGCAAATCCCACTCATTAACAATTAACTGATGGACCAATACATTTACAAACATTCTTAGAATTTATTTGTGGATTGTCACTATAAGTGCAGCTTTTGAACTCACATTTGGTTCAATAAGTGCGATTTTTACAATTATCCCTCTGAGAAGCTTATACAAAGCATTTGAATGTATATTTTTTAATTACAATTATTTGTGTTTTCAAGAAAATGGTGTTCGGGAGTAATTTAGGTGGGAACGAGTTTAAAGTTGGCGAAATGTGAAAGTTCATTTGTTTCTATTTCCTCCTGCTGTTTCATTTTATGATTTCTATAACACAAGGGGGAATGCATCCCAGCGGAGCTTTCGTTAGGGCCATTTTGATTAAGTGTCTGCCAAAATGCATTTGCTCTGTTGACATAATTTTACCTTTCAGTTTCCCCAATTTAAAATTATTACGATAAATATGTTTGCCTTTGCTGATTTATACTTGAACTTTTTTTTTTAAAGTAAAGTCTGCTGCCCAAAAAGATAAATAAATCATACGCAATAGAAAGAATAATAATTGCCAAAACTCAGCCTGACAGTTGCTAACAAGCCGACAGGAACCGAGGCAGAAGTGGCAGCCCATCTTTTGCGCGCTCCACTTTCACCGGGAATGATGTTGCGTCTTCTCTGCATTGGCGCCGGGCCCTGTTTTCACACCGTGCTGATAAGTGTGCAACCGTTTTAATCTCCGTGTCAAAACGCTCCGAGGGTGGTAGAAATGTAACGTAAAAAGCGTGGCGTAAGAACGGGCGCGTTGACACGGCAGATGGAGTGATATGGCACGTTTGTCCGCGGGGGGTTTCCGTTTTATGGAATTTGCAGCGAACGTGTGAGCACTGCGCTTTTCTCCACCACATTTTCCACTTCAGAACTATTATACTTACCCAGAATGTATCTTCCCCCACTAGCGGGAATAAATAAGTAGTTAATGGTGCGGCTTGGAAACGGTGGCATTCTGCCGAGACAACAAATGTTGTACCTAAATTTTCCCTGCGTGACAACAAAGATACGGTTTCAAATTAATCCCATTTATAAGGAAATTCTGTTTTCAAAAGGAGTGCATTTCCTTGCACACCCAATCAGTCTTTTGTTTCACTGAAACACAACTCTCCGCACGCTGACGCACACCAACGTGCTCAATGAACTCCCGGTGTCTCTTGATTATGAAATTGCGGCAAAGCAAGGTTTGCATTTCCTGCAACATTACATTCCGGAGTTGGCCCATTGTGCAGCAGCGTGATGGGTACATTTCGCTGGAGTCACCTAATACAATGTACACCCAACAAGACTTTTCAGGGTGAAGCTACACTTCACAAATATACCTGTACCACAGTGCAATGACAAAGACCTCCCGCATGGCCTTCGCAGATGTGTGGAGCAAGTGTTGTTAGCAAGCACCTAAGAGGGCAGGAACAGCGCTTGATGGGCTGGAATGGCTATAAAACCACGACTGACCACCTTTGTCTTCCCAATGTTGAGGATTAGGCGACGCATTGCGGCATGAGTTCATGTAAAGCAGAATTTACCTAGAGGAGGCCTGGGATCCGTTCAGATATTTTCGCCACTGATGTTGGTTGTGGCCCGGAATCTCACTCGCGTCAAAAATTTCCACTGCTGGGGTCAAAGCCTTCTTGTTTGACACCGTTTGTCTCTGGTCTTGTAAGTACAGCCCAGCTGCTCACGCACCACGCATCTCCACCGAGCTCCCTTCGAACTGGGCAATTGGCCAAACGGGATTAACAAATGAAATGAACTCAAAAACGAAACGCAAACTCCTGTGAGTCCACTGCTGGATGAAGACACCCTACGCCGTGTCGGTCATGAGGGCTCTTTGACCATCCTTCACTACACTGGTCAGTGCATGTGAATGAGAGCTCGATAGCTCATTGGATTCCTCCAGTATATAATCAGATTCGGATGTTGGTAAAAAGATGAAGGGTGGTAGGGGGGAGGGTAAGGAGTGCCGGACTGCTTTGGTCAGCATTTGCCGCTGATGTTAACCACCACGGCCAGGATTAAAATGGAGGTAACCGAGTTCAGAGCAAGCAGTATTGAGAGCTACTAAAAAATAAAACAAGGTCTCCCGTCCAATTCAAATTTGTAAAAAAAAAATAGGTATAAAAAATGCGTTACAGGACTAAAAACGCGCGTGCACAGTTCGCAGATTTTCTCGCCCTGCGTTCGTACGCCCTGTGACAATGACAGTCGCCAATGACCCGTTCGACGGCCGCTCCTCTTTTCCCCAAAGTTGCGAGTGCCGCCGTTTGATAACGCATTGGGCTTGCTCTGCCCAGAGGCTGGCACGGCAGGTGTGATGGCTTTAGTCACGCGAGTCCGCGTGCACGTGTTACCGCGCTGTGACAGAGCCAGACTTAAATGGCCGTAGCAAGAGTCTAGACTCCATAAAACTACATCCTTCCTGCCACCTTTTTTTTTTCTTCTGCCCATGTCAGGGCAGTCCGTGAGCTAACGGTGCTCATTCATCAAGCAGGGCTTAGCAAGACTGGGTGGTGGGGGGGGAAATGTGTTCCTAAGTAAGGTTATATACTGCAGCGGGCGTATAGATCTACGAAGCTGTTCCTAATCTGGTTGATTGATTCTTTCCACTAGCCAGATATGGTAATAATATGCAATCAGCAAGTGGTTTACACGCAATTTTTCTCCATGCCAAGATTGTTTTACAGGGCTTCTGTAACAGTGTCCTGTAAAAGTCGGCTGGATTTGCTTTTTGTGTTTTACTTTTTTTGATGTACAACTTCATATGATACACTTTAATCAGCGGGGAAAAACTATATTCTGCAGTTGAAGGCCGCTTTCCGGGATTTGTAAAACACTGGGAGAAATGTGGTCCATATTAGCCCTTGAATGATTTTGGCCTTAAACCCAATTACAAAAAATAATGGTATTTTAACAAAGATAACTTTCATAAGGGTTCTTTATTTTCCTAGTTTTAGTCATGATAATTATGCCCATTATGTAATACAGTAATACATCTTGAATTGCTGAATGTTAATAAATACACACTGAGCCTCAGTGTTAGAGGGTACTGTCGGAGCCGAAGAAATCACTAAATAATCTGAACTGCATTCAAAGATTTAATTCGTAGCAGCAACCCACAGAGATACATTACCTGCTGCGTATAGTTTTTTTGGTTGGTGTATGAACGGTTGTGCCTCTATGCTCCTGTGCCCGACAATGCACTGCAGTTCACGCACGCGCTAATGTAACGTTGCAGTTTTTAAACGTCTACAAGGAGAGATTTTGTGGGCGTTCGGATGCCGATTCCGGTACAAAATACCCCACGGAGCAGCGCGACCCCCGGCCCAGCATTTGGGAGAATTTTGTTTAAAATTGGCTCAGTTTTGTTAAAGTTGCTTTGTCGGTCCCAATTATCAACTCACTCTCCCCCCCCCCCCCCGAATGTCCTTCCTTTATTTTTTGGGCACACACACACACACAGACGCGTCGAGCAACACTCCGACACTGCTCTGTGCCAAGCAACAACATTTTTAGATGTTTCTCAGCCCGACCGTCGAGCGCGCACATTTATCTTCCGCCAAAATATTTAATCGCCCTAAGAATGGGCCCGTCTGGTTAGGAAATGTGGTAACAGAAGAAGAAAAGCAGCATTATTTAGCTCGCAAAAATGTGCCAAGATTGCTGGCAGGAAGGAGAGAAAATGTTATATACGGACATAACTTGAGATTAGGGCAGGGTTAGTTACTGTAAATTACGATTTTGTGTACTTTTTTTTGTCCGCCCATTTGGTCGAAAGTCTGTTGAGAATTTTTCTGAGTGCGACGTCGTTTCGCTACTTCGTATTTCTGTTACTCTCGAGTGTTTTCCTTTGCTTCGGCCCGACCGTGTTGTGTTTTTTTTGCGATCAAAGCGCTGGCCCGAGGAATCATTCGTCACGTAAAGGGCGTTCAATCAACGCACCTCCACGTTCAATAAGAAACACATGGGAAGAGTTTCTGTTTGTTTGCCTGAATGCCCAAAAAATAACTCTCCTCGATGATAAATGCCTTCTGCGAGGAATTACTGCTCCAATTAATCACTTGTAAACCAACAGGCATAATATTTTTCTTCATTTAGATTTTGCGCGAGAAATCAAACATTTATGTACAAAAATATTATGGAAACGCAAAACGGTTTAAGGGCACACTTTGTGTGTGTGTGTGTGCAGATATACATACATACGTGGGCGCAAACTAAAATGTACTTGACAATTTTAAAAAGAACGCTGCGTCTAAAGCAAACATCACATATTATTTACATTACTCATCGCTTTCTTAAGCAGCATTTTCTGTAAAAAAAAAAATTCATGAGCAGGGTCAAATGCTGCACTGTCAATATAAAAACACAACCCCACATCGAACGCACGCCGATCTGCATCACTCGTGTTCACAGGCGAGTGCACTTTGAGTCGGCATGTCTTCTTTGCAAAAGAGATCCGATTAAATAAGAATAAAGGTAATTTTCTCAATTTGCTGTCTGTTACCTGGGATTCCTTAGTCAGGACAAGTGTAATTAATTTACTTACAATACACATACCTGTGTTTTGTTTCCCCATGGAAGTACGCGCATATGTAATATAGCGCGCGCACTGAAGCAGAGGTCACGTACCACTGATTTACACTGGAAAGTTTTTTTTTTTTTGCAACGTTTCTCGGGAGAGCTGTAAAATGTGGAAGGTTTTGAGAAGTAAGAAAAGGGCTGGTGATTCCGTCTGATCGTTATCTTAACCGTTCACGAGCCCGCATACAACCGCCGTTTGTACAATACAAATTTATTCACAACACTAGTTTGTACAGCTTAGCAAACGCATTTTTGCATTTTGAAGTAAGGTAAAGTGTGAGCAGAAATAACGGGTACAGACATTCTCTGTTGGGTTCTGTACAGGTACACTGGTTTTGGCTACAACTTTTCTCTTTGGCAAAACTGACACCATTTTGTGCTTCCGCTTTTGCATTTAATACAGCAGTAAAATTAACACACGCGAAAAAAAACATCGTCTAAGTTCTTGACACAGAAGTGTTCATCAAACAAGAAAATAAAATCACTATAAATACCGTCGTATATATATATATTAATTCAGTCCTGGATGAAGCTATAAATGGCGTGAACGCGGGGTTAAAAGGTGTGGGTGTTTTATGTGATCGAGCCACTCACAGAGTTAAGTTAAGGTTGCATGCAATCTGCTACACTGCTAGGGGCAATGATTAAACTGTCACGTAGAACACCCGGGCAACTCCAGTGATTCAATCAGCTCAGCCCAATCGTCCCATTGACAAAGTCTTTCCCACCCCAGTGACAAATAAATAAATAATGTCCTCCGTGTCGACGAGGATCGATCCCACGGCTCGCCGGAGCGTTTGTCTCGGCCCTGCCTCGCTCTCTTCATTTTTTCCTCTTCCTCCCGCCCCCCCCAACCAACCACCACCACCACCCCCACCCCCAACCCTCTCGTCTCCTCTCCCGTTCTCCTTGTGCTTAGTTCGATGGCACTGATTGAAAAGTGTTGGCGATGAGGATCTTTGGTTGTCCGCCGTAAGTGCCGGCGACGTTTTAATCAGGGCGTTTAATTCCTGCCCGGTGGGCGGGGGTGGGGGGGGTGGCCTCCCCCCCCCCTCCCCTCCCGTCAGTCAATCCACCTCGATCGATTCTCCGCAGTCGGCCGGGGCCTTGCATTCGTTGGGCGTGCGCTGGTGGCGGCTCAGCTGCGTTGCCTGCGTGAAGCTCTGCTCGCATCGCTCGCACCTGCCACGGGGAGGGGGGGGATGAGAACGGCCGTTTCTTAATTCATCATCATCGTCGTTATTATTGTTGTTGTTGTTGTTATTCATGCTATGCTTGTGTACCCAGGAATGTCTCACTTGAGTCTCATGCCTCTCTTTTTCTGGGAGGGGGCCTGTTTCAGTAGGTGGGAGGGGGTGTTGGAGGGGAAGCGATTGTTGCTGTGCACAATCCCAATTGAGTATTGTTTCAAATTTGGCAAAATTGGACCATGACGCCGGAACATCATGGCCTCTTGTTGTGAATGACATCTCGGGATATTTGACATCCGATGCGAAGCAGACGGCTTCAACCACGAACCTTGGCAACATGCAGCAAACGGGCTCCCGCTCGGTCATGTCACTGCCCCATTAAAAAAAAGAGAGTAAAAAAATGGCGCAATTCACACGTGGTTGGTGAAAAATAGCGAGAGGAATTGTCCCACACATTCTCAAATATGGAACAAAAAACCGACGAGTGCGTCAAGAAGCGCGGGGAGATGAATGCGCGCGTGGAATTGCACCGGGAGGCAGAAGGGGAAGTGTGTGGATTGGAGAAGACACGAACGTTACAGACATCATATTGCACGTTCAGTGAAGTAAAGAGTGCCTTGGGGCAGGACACGTCGCTCTAAGGGATGATGGCCGGTGGTCAAGACGACTCTCGGAGTGGTAGCCAAAAGAGAGAATAATAAAATAGGCTCGTGCACACGGCTCCCCGAGGGCTTGCGGCATCGTAGGACAGCGAAAAGATGGCTATGGCTTTGAGAAGCCTTTACCCATCAGGGAGTCAATCATGGATGATAACGATGGTCGTATACGCACGCAGAGCTCTGCTCAAACTCATTCGCATCGATGGCAACTGTTTAGACACTTTAAACAGGTTTTAAGTCGCCACCTGTGTTTGCGAGGTTTATCCATATACAGCATCGGGTGGTCGCGGTGTATCGCTGTTGGCTTTGAGCAGGTGGTGTTGTGTCACAGAGAAGGCTTTGGGGTTTAGGTTATCTGCCTACGCGTAAGCCTATAAAATGTGGATGCTATTCTTGCTTGTCTGGAAGTCTTGCCATGGGTTTTTAGTTGAAGACAGACACCGCAGATCGCGATCACTCCTCGATCTGTTGTTTACCATTGCAGGGGTGTAAATTGTGCCCTTTAAAGCCTTTCCACAGAAATTATATCCGACAACATATTGCCTCGCATAATAAGTTGGCTCTTACAGTGACACCGAGTCTAGACAAGCAGAGAGAATAAACTCGCGTCACATTTTATATCGTTTATTAATAAGTAACGCCATTACTAATGTACAGCAGTTTGCAATCCACCGCTAGACGTGTCCATCACGGGGATTACGTGACTATACTTCACGCTGGGCAGTGCAGCTTGGCGAAGGGGGTGTGGGGGGTGTGGCAATATGAATGTTAAAGCCACATTGGCATATGCAGCGGTGTGTAAAATACATTATTTTGCTACGTGATTTGCTTTATAATTTTCTAAAAACAACGAAAACTAAACTGTTGTATTTAACCAGGTAAGGTCCACAGAGCTATACATCTCTTTTTTCAGAAGCGACCTGGCCACAAATGATAGCTCAACGAAGTGGCTTATCACGTGGACATTTATAGCAGCAAAATACTCCAAACGCACGTTTCTAAATGTGCGAGGAAAAACCGGAGGACCAAGGGAAAAATCCACGCGACCACGGGGAGAGAGAGAGAGAACATTCAAACTCCAAATGTACGGTTCCTAGTGGAGGCGTGCACGGTGGCATCGTGGTTAGCGTGCTACGTTTTGAACCTGGCCACCGAAATTCGACTCCCGGAAAACGGCCCAAATTAGTGGGCGAGGGATATTAGAACCCGGTCCCAGCCTCCGCCCTCCCCTTCATCAAGCCGCACTGATCAGCGTGGTGAAGTATGGTCAAAGCGCCCCGCGACTTTCACTGCGCGGGGGGGCGGGGAGCGGGGAGCGGGGGGGGTAATGAACGGAGGACGCCTGGAATTTATTTTATTTCCTTTATCAATTCCTATTAGTGCCGTGCCACCCTGGGTTAGGGTCACTGTCAGATCACTCACGGGTCCATCAAAGCCTCTTTGGCCGAGGCACGATTTCTCACGGGACGCGTGACCTGCGGGGGGGTGGGTTGCGATTAGTGTCTGGGAGCCGCATCAAAATCATCTCTCCCAAGATCAAACCGTGAGGGTACCCCCCCCCCCCCCCCCCCGCCCGCTCCCTCGCACGGATCTTCTCTCACGGCTTTCACATCAGTCGTCAGCGTCACGAGGGCGACGCGCCGCCTTTGATGGTTCGCGACCTGCCCGGTCGCGCGTGTGTCGTGAATTTTATTCGAATGCACGTTCATGCACTCGGGGGGAAGAGAGCCGTTGGTCAAAATCCATTGTAAATCCAACGCGCGTGAGTGTTGTACGTGTTTGTCTCTCATCACGATTATTGCCGAACACAGGCCGAAAAGGCGCAGGAAACGCCAAGCAACCAACAGCGCTATTGAAGTTACAATAGGCATTAAAGATAAAGAGTCATACACATGTATTGACTTGAGCTAGGTTATTACAAGAGACTGGGAATAGAGACAATTGGGAAGTGTGACGGTGCGAGGAAAGACGCAGTGAGAGGAGCGTCGTGGCCTCCGGCGTGGTGGTTGAAGGTGAAGCAGTCAGTCTGGCAACACCGAGCTCTCAGCATGGGTGGACGAATCAACGAGTGAAGTTCATGGAAACAGTAACCATAGCAGTAGCTATAGAAGAGTGACCGCAAACACTAAAACATCAAGTCGCCGGGATATATTCAACAACGATGCACCATTTCAATGGCAATTCACCGGGCGGTGCGTGCTGCGTAAACTTTCGTGCCACCACACAGGGTTAGCTACTACTGGGAGGGAGCGGCGGGGGGGGTCCCGTTGATTAGACTGCAGCAGGGCATGGGGACGGTTGAGAGATGTGACAACGTAAGGCGCTCTGAGTTGCGGAGGTATTCAAGCGAGCACCCTCTGAATGCAATGAATTCCTCATCCTTCTCGTTCCACCCGCGTCGTTCACCGTGGGTGAGCGAGCGAGCGAGTGAGCCAGCGCGCGTGCAACTCACTTGAAGGGCTTCTCGCCCGTGTGCGTGCGGATGTGGTTGTTGAGTGTGGTGGCTCCAGCGAAAGGCGCGTCCCGCAGTAGCCGCATTTGAACGGACGGTCACTCGAGTGGGTGACCACGTGATTCCGCAGCTCCGAGGGCTGGGAGAAGGACTGGGCGCAGTGGCCACACTGGTAGGGCCTGCGGGGGGAGAGGGGCGGCAGAGGGTCAGAGACTCACCGCCACACAGACTCACACCGACACACACTCGCATAGACTTGCACAGACTCACACAAAGACTCATCATTATACAGACTCACACCGATACACACTCACACCGACACTCACAACGACACAGACTCACACAGACACACAGGCACAGCCGACACCAGACTCACAAGAATACAGACTTATCCCGACAGACTCAGAACAGCACAGTCTCACAATACACACTCATAACAAAACACTCACCTCAACACAGACTCACTCCAATACACAACCTTATCCCAACACACTCGCCCAAACACACTCAGCCCAACACACTCACCCCAATACACTCACTTGTTGTACTTGATAAGTTCAAGTCAATGGATTAAACACTCTTCAAATTCCCCATACATACATTCATGACGTGAAATAGTCCATAATCATTCTCCAGTATCTGTCCAATTCTGGATGAAGACCTCTCAAAGCCGTTGCTATCTCTCATAGTTTCAACGATGTCACCATCCACATAGCATCCTGCACGCAAGCTGATTTCATTGGTCCATCTCTGCGATGGATGTCTTCTCAGGCACGTTTCCTCCTTTGACTGCCTATCTGCCATGAGTCTTAACCGCAGGCGATTCTCCGTTCAAGCAACGCGTCCTGCCCATGCCCAATAACTTTACTTTGAAGTGCTGCAATTGTACGTTTATACACTCCGAACTGGTGCCGTTTTTGTCACGTTTTTTCTGACAGCTTTAGTGTCACATTCAATGGCAGGGGAGAATTACGTTGTAAACAGATTCGGGGGATTGAATGTTTTTTAAGAGTTTGGCATAACACTTGAAGCAGTTGAGGACTTTCGGCAGACCCTGCCGAATCAGCAAAACAAACCATCCTCAGGGTCCTCAGTTTTGCAGCGCCTAAGTATGAAAATGTTAGTTTTGAGATGATTCTGTTGGTAAGAATACACAGTGATTTTTGTGCTATTTTATTTATTTTTATTAATTTTGATGTTTTACCTACGTGACTTTACCGAAAAAACCTAAGAATATGAATAAGAATACATTCGTGCCAAACTGCAGTTTTCTAGTCCTTGCGGAACACCATTCGAATTTACGGCAATTTTTAATTGAAATAAAATTCAAAAAAATGGCACACGGCATATGTCAGTTGACTACCGAAAGGCGTAATTATGTGAACGTTTACTAAATCCAACGTTTCAGATGTTTAATAATAACCAGCAGTTTCCGAAAAAATATTAAAGTGTTGGTAGGCCATTAGACAAAGCAGACAACTTGTTAAAGGTTGTGACATGAAAAGGATTTGCTAAAAATAAAAATGTTATGAATACAAAGTTTATTTTAATACGGTACGGTAATACATGAGCTTGGATTTAAATGCAAAACCTTACACACACACGTACACAATACGCAAACGTTTACCACTGCAACGAGGCTATGTTTAGTGTAACTGACTAGATTCACATATATGTATGTGTGGACATCTACACATATATTGCATTATAAACGTGCAAATAACCCGTCTTAAATTTTAAATATTAATTTCACGTAACAAAATTATGCCGATCTAAAACAGTGCATTCCAATATTAAGAGTGGTGCAGGTAAAGTACTACGTGTTTCTAAAATGACCTCTGTGGTCAAGCGTAAGGGAGACAAACATTCAGCGACAGAAAGAAGAACTCGTGGATTAGAGAACGCACAAGAGTTTGAGAGGAAGTTCAAACTGTTAAGAAGAAAAGTGGCAGTGGGCAGGACGCGTCGCAAGAATGATGACGGAGTGGCGGTCAAGGATGGAACGTAACACGTCCAAGAGGATGTACACTGTGGAGATGGAGCAATGAAATCAGTTTGCGTGGAGCATGTGCTTGGTGGATTATTACAGCGCAGGACCGCGATGGATGCGGCACTGTTTGGAGAGGCCTTCATCCGGCAGTGGACTGGTCATGGCTGATGACGTTAATGCAACAGATACAAACGAATAACTTTCCTTAGCAATGGGCACTAGCTTAACTCTACTTCCAATCTACATCACAGTGAGGGTTTCACCACGTACATCGTCAAGCTTGTTACATTTATTCAGTATAAGAAATGCATTTTGTACGTGCAATGGGATGATCGAATATAATTTTTGCCGCAGTATCAGCAAGTATAAAAAACGTGGAGTGCACTGTGTGCTGTAGCCGGCGATCTGAGTTCTATTCCCAACCATGGCCCACATCAGTGGCGAGTGATGTCTGAACTGATCCTGCGCCCCCCCTCACATCACCAATCCGCACTGACCAATGTGGAAAATTATGGTCAAACAAACTCCCATAACCAACACGGCATGGGGCATCCTTCAGCCAGCGGTGGATTGGCAAAGGACTGTCAATTATTCATCATTATTATTACTATTAAATGTATACCTACGTAGCATTAGAGACCTGCGATTGTTGTACAACGTGTATAAATGTCGCTGTTACGTTCATGAAAGTAATCACGTGGCAAACGTACAAAGTCGAAATTGCACCGTCCCGATGCTGTGTCCAGCATGAACACGTATTTTCCTTAACGCTCTCTTAGGATGTGAAAACCCACGCAAATATTCTTGGTTCTTTCGGTAAAGTCACGTAGAAGGGAAATAAAATAAAAAAATAAAACATAATAAAATACAATTCTCGCGACGTTTCGGCCACAAAGCAAGTAGCCGTCCTCAGGTGAAGAACAGGTCTGTTGGAAAGACAGTCTGTTGGAAAGACAGACAGACCTGTTCTTCACCTGAGGACGGCTGCTTGCTTGCTTTGTGGCCGAAACGTCGTGAGAATTGTATTTTATTATGTTTAAATTTTTATGATGTTTTATTTTATTATTATTATTATTATTTAATTTCCTTCTACGTGACTTTACCGAAAGAACCAAGAAGATGAATCCCTGCAGTCACGAAAGCTTTAAATCGAAACCCACGCAAAGGTGTTTTTTTTTTTGTGTGTGTTCAAAGCGCGCTGAGATTACGCAGAAACCTGTTGTGTGGGTGGCCGTGTTATCAGTTTCTAAAAAAAAAATCCAGTGCACAAAACTCCGAGCTGTCAGCTACCGCCCTGGGAGTCGTGTGCTTGACGCCATATGGCCTGATGCGAGAGCTCTGATGCGAGAGCTCTGATGCGAGCGCGCTGATGCGAGAGCCCCATTCTCTGTTTTCATCTCTTGGTCTGGCGATAACGGGAAGGCCTCGCCAGCTCCACCACCACCACCACCACCGTCCGTCCCCCTGACTCTTTGTCAATGCAATTGACTCAGGGCGGTGACACGGGCCAAACACCCAAATGGATTTTTTTTGTCTTTCATGTGACCATTTGTAGGTTAGGCTTTTTTTCGGACCTGCCAGAATGACACCATCGATTTCTGCGATCCATTGTAACAATAAACGCGCTGCAGGAATCAAGGTGTGATAACGACAGCTTGAAACAATGCGCCAAAGCAGTCTAAAAAGTAGCGCCTTGTATCCACTGTGCTTTATAACTAATGGCACATGTTCGCATTATAAAGCGTCAAATACCAAGATCCCCCATCTAACCTTTAACACGCTGTTACGGCAAGCGGTGTTAGCACAAAACGGTGGTGTGGCTCGCATCGTGCCCAGCCACCTTTGTCTCCCCAGTGCTAATGTTCATACAGCAAATCAGGTGCTCATTTAAGGCTGAGTCGGCCTAGAAAACAGTTCAGTTATTCTCCACTGATATCACCCGTGGCGGGGAATCGAAATCGGGTCGCTGGTTTCGTAGCACAGCGCGCGAACCACTCACTAGCGCTCCCCACACCAAAATGTCAACGCGCGTTGTCACATGCAGCAAAAGTAAAGGGCAAGTGCGTGTTAATGTGTAAATGCGCGTGCGTGCTCGTGCTGGTGCGCGCTCACACTGTTCAGTGGAACAGTCTGATTTGGGCATTGTCACCTGCTCTTAGGAGTGCCATCAGCCATCCTGGCACTAACGCACCTGTCCGGGTTCTGCGAACACACGTGCATCTGCAGCAGGATTCGCTGCGTGAAGGTCTTGAAGCATTGGCCACACTTCCACAGGTGCCAATCACTGAACTCCCCACCCAGCTGGCTGGTGGACGTGGGACTCGCCAGCACCTTGTGACCTCCGACCCCACCGCCCCCTGCGCCACCGCCGATCCCACCCAAGCCCATGCCGGAGCCGGGGCTGCTGCCCACGCCGCTGGCGCTGCCGTTGCAGCCGTAGCTGTAGGCCGCCCCGGGCCTGTCGCCCTGCGGGTACGACCTCCCGGCGGCCGGCAGGGCCTGGCTCGGCCAGTGCACGGCGGGGGGCGGAAGCTTGCCCGCCTTGCCGAAGGGCGACAGGGCCTCGTGCCGCGACATGGCTTCCGCGGCAGACAGGGGCACGTTTGCTGCAAGAGAAGATTCGATCACAATCAGAATCTCTTATTTATCCCGGAGGAATCTGATGAGCTGTGAAGCTCTTTTTCACAGATGTCCAGAAAACTAAACTATTTTTATTTTAATAGGTAAGGCCCACTGAGCTGCATCCCTCTTTTTTAGAAGCGACCTGGCCACAAATGATAGCTCAACGAAGTTGCTTATCACATGGAAATTTATAGCAGCCGGAGGACCCGGAGAAAACTCCAAACGACCATGGGGAAAACATGTAAACTCCAAATATGCAGCAGGCGTCAGGATCGGAATGGAACCCACGACCTCCAGGCGAGGTAGCTACCATCTCGCCACGCCAGCGAGATGTAGGGGCGGGTCAGCAAGTTAGAAGTTTGTTACGTAAGAGAAGGTGAGATGACTCTTTCTGCTCTGGTCAAATCGCACCGAATGATGAGCCAAAGCTTGCGGTAGATGTCGGATAATAAGCGGGGTTCAGCGTGGGTGAGCACTTGGATGGGAGACTGCCAGTGGAATACACCACAGGCGTGGAGGGCGTGGGCTACAGAGTGGCCAGGAAATGGCAGTGCACCTGTAAATGTAGACATCTGTGTGGCGCTCTGCGTGTTACTGCCTGTGGTTTTCTCCCACAAGCCACACACTCATTATTGGCCAAACATCCCAATACAGGAGCCTCTTGAAACTTTTGCTTACGTTTTGAAATGTAAGACTCTATTTCATGAAAAGTAAATAGGGAATGGCACGGTGATTCTGCAGCTGCGAAACGCCACGTTACGAGAATCGAAAAGGGACTGCACTTAAACTCGAGAAGCCAGTTTAAATCGTGGCTGGCTGGCCAGATTTGAACCCATGATCTCATCACCATTGCCATCTAAGTTTGTCATCGTTCCGCCGCATCTCCCGATTCGTGCGGTTGGCTACGTACGTGCGCGAAAGAAGTTCAACATACATACACACGCACGCAAGAGAACTCGCAAACACCAATGAGAGATCCCTTAATCCGCGTCGCGTGTCGCCACGGATTTTCCCGGCGAGCGCCGGGGTATCCACGGCCGCTGGTGGTAGAGGGGGGGGGCGAGGGCCCCGTACCGGTGTCGTCCTGCGCGACGTGCTGCAGAGGGATCCCCAGGAAAGAGGCGTACGACTCGTCGTACCACACCAGCAGCTCCGAGCCCCGAGGGATGTCGGCGCATGCTCGGTAAAATATGCACGACCTGTACAGGGTCGTGGGGGAAGAATGGTGGAGGGGGGGGGGTGAAGCGCTTGAGGCTCAGGGCATGATGAACGAGCCCGTCGCGAAGCGGCCCCTGCCGTTTGTTTTGTGTTCGCGAGCGAGCGAGAGAGAAAGCAACGCATAGTTCGCCACAACGGGATCGGTGGGGACAAGTGAGGGGGGGGGGGGGGGGCTGCCTCCCTCCCGGTTTGGCTGAACCTGACTTCGTCAAACGCCGGCCGCATCTTCTCGCGCCCACGCGCGCACACAATTAAACCACCTCCTTGAAGGTGACCTTTAACTTCGTGGCATCGGTGGCAGAAAACTTTGAGCAGGAATCTCGCTCCATCGTGGTTTGTCCCCCGCCATGGACAAACGCCCTCCCCCGCCCCTGCTAAGCTCGATCGGCTGATTAATTTCGAGTCGGTTGAATTTCTGTTTCGAGTTTTTTTCAGTGTTTTTTTTTTTTACGAAACTCGCAAACGTGATACATTTTTTTTAACAGCAAGCGTGAGCCAGCGTTACCGGGAGAAATTCATTGATAATGCATTACGCTCTAAGTGAAAACGGATAAACGCCGAGGAGATAGAAACTGCGGGGGAATGGCACGCGCATTAGCGAGACATCGATCGCCGTGCGGCTCTCGATCGCCGTGCCTGCGAGATGCTCTTGTTGCGCCGTTAGGGAAATTATGATCGGCAAAGAAACAAGCTCGTGAAGCTGTAGGTCACGGGAGATGCGCAAGTCATGGCCAGTTTTTCTAAAAGAAAGATATGACTTCAAGAGAATTATGCGAGGACGTCACCGCACGCAGTCCTGCGACACACTGTTTTCTCGCGTAAATGCGACAGCTCGGAGGAGAGCCGTTATCGCACGTGATGATTTATAGAACGTCATGAATTATCCAGATGGTCATTTTATACGCATCTCCCAAACCAGACATACATAAACATAAAATTATACGCACATAATGTGAGTGCAAATAGTTTACATTGGACGCACATACTTGTCTGTATAAAATAATATATTTTTAAATACACCCATTGTTAACATACGGCGAGGTGTAAGTACAATAAACACTCCAATGCTTTGCACGTTGATAAATTACCACATGCCACGTTACATGTGAGAACGTTCAGTTCAGAGTGAAATGTTTGGCTGTTTCAGTTGTACGTGGCGCCCTAGCAGTCTCTTTTGTATCACGCCCAGTGCTGGATTCAGCTAGTGCGGGGCCTGTAGCATAAGTTATAAAGGGGCCCTAAATAAATAAAAAACACACAAATATTAAAACACAAATTTTTACTTGCATAGTAAAGTAATTGTATTGTTATCATTTTCTGTACAGCCAGATAATACGACAAATCGCTAACCTTAAACACCCAGTCGTTCATAAAAGTTGAAGGCAGTATAGTACTATAGTAATAGAGCAAGTGCAGAATCGCTGAACCGGAATTGATAGCTTGAAAGCATTTAGCGCGGGGCCCTTGAAAGTGCGGGGCCCGCAGCATATGCAGCTACTTGTGCTACTTGGATAATCCGGCACTGATCACACACACACATCTGAACCCGGCCGTCTGAGTTTTAAACTCAGCCACAGCAAACGTCAGCGGAGAATTATATCTGAACCACGGGGGGCACGTGCCATTCCCGTGGATGATTCTTTCATAATGTCTGCCACAAGTGAACAGGAGATGTCAGCGGTTATCGAAGCGAGTTATGAACCCGACGAGCTGAGTTTGATTTCCGACCACGAGCTAACGTCTGTGGCGAGCGATATATCTGAACCGGTCCTGGGCCTCCCCTTTCACCAACCCAGAGAGGCCAGCGTGGGTAGCATAGGATCAAACAACACCTGACAATTAAAAGACATGAGAAGCCCTTGCTTCCAGTAGGGAATTCACAAAGCGCTATATACATAATAATAATTAAAATGTATTCCTCTATATGCCAGGCCAAGTCTCTTCTTAAGTGAGGTATATCTGCTGCTGTAACCCATAATACGCTAATCTTGCAAATGTGGTCAGCGTGACCTCGTTGGCGTGGCCTCCATAAATCATCGGTAGCACTAATAGAATTTAACAACGCGGCTTTGACCATTACAGAAATTGATGACGATGCATCACAAACGATTCCTGGAAGAAAAAAAATGCGCGTGTTTTTTTGGTTTGTTAATTAACATCTTCATGGTATTGAATGTCAAATTAGAATGTTGGCATTGACACTTGTAACTGACCGCTCCGATTGTGCACTTTGTTTGTTTGTTTCTTCTGACCAAACTAGATTAGCGTAGAAAATAGTGAAAAGCCGAACCTTATCTCAGAATGAATGGAGGGGGGGGGGGGCATTGAATGGTCTGTATTTAAAACAAGGGCGATGCTGTGTTCTCCAGATTACAAGATGATGTGGAGAGTAATACACACCCCGGACTTATACAAAGCGTCCAAAAAGTTCTACAAATCTTTTGACAAACGAACACGTACACTTTACCGGATTACATGACACACCCCAAATGATGCATTATAATACAGGGCGGGGGGGAGGTGCGTCTTATGATCTGGAGGATTCGTTAAATGCAATTGCAAATTAAATTGAATGGCGATTAATTAACAAGAAGATCAAGGGCAGTCTAGAAGAATAAGTAGGTCTCTCCTGTGCCAAGAGGTCTAATGAGGGTATTACATAATTGAAATCAGAAATGGGCAGCATAATGAAGCTTGGATTGCAGCTCAGCAAGGCTCCTGATTGTGAGATCATGAATTCAAAAGCTGGCCGTGGTCCATACTCTTTGGTTCTTTCGGTAAAGTCACGAAGGTGAGAAAAAAATGAAAATAACTAAATTAAATCATGAGTGTCCACTTCAGCAAATTATTTCTTGCTGTGACTGTCCTACCTGATGACGGAGGCTTGTGTTGCTTCCGAAACGTCGTGATTTAATTTAGTTATTTTCATTTGTATTTAATTTTTATTATTATTATTTTCACCTACGTGACTTTACCTACGTGACTTTACCGAAAGAACCTTGCAGTCACGAAAACTTCAAATCTAGAATTAACTGGCCATGGTCAACTCAGCCCATTATCATCACCGCACCAGGATCAGTAAAACCAGCAATGATTAGTGAAGGGGCCACCACTTAATGGTAAAAGCAACATTGGTTGTCCTGTGGACACTGGTCCCTTGCCATGGGAATGTGTAATTTTCACCACCAGCTCACATGTACGACATGATATGAGCACTTCTCAATGTCAATTTGAGATTTTCATACACGGATGCCGACGCTTCCTCGGTATTTTTTTTTATCTGGGCTCCATTACTCATTAAATGTTTTCCCGGTTGCTGCGAGGCTGAAGTAGGTCACACGTGACTATTAGACATAGCCATAGCGACTACTGGGTTAGTTTTCTCAGTATTGCCCTTTTGTTGAGGCAGCTGATAGCTGCAGAAAGCTGTGAGTCTTCCCAGGACTTTAAAAGTTGTGGAATAATAATGAATCACTCAAGGCAATGCTTTGACATGCACTTCTCCCCCTCTTCCAGTATTATGAGATATTCTGCTTCTCGTGATATGTCCTGTGTTTTTACGATGACATGCTGGTGGATAGGCGTGCTGCAGCTGCTCTGCGCGTGATGTGCCGAAATATTTCACGGGTCACAAATCTGGACAGACCTGGCTGAAATTAATCCCCGGGTTGTAAGCGTAGGAAAAGAGCAACGAGGAAGTTCGAGATCAAGTTGAGGAGGAGAGAAACATAGCAGCAAACAATTCCGAAAAGATAAAAGAAGTGGAACTGGGCTCATCCTCAGGGTGAGAGTCTGGTAACGGAAGGAAGATCTGCAAGAAAAATGTTGGAAATGTGCGATGAGAAGGTACTGTGGCTTTAAGGGATGCTTTTAAAACGACTATTTACAAGACATTGAGAAAGAAGCCAAGATGCAGAAGGCTGCTGCTTGATGACTTGAACAAAGGAGGGGAGCAAATACGGCGAAACAAACTAGAAGAAAACTCACGATCAGACAGGGTGGAGGGATTCATTGTTAGTTTTTGCGTCAGACCGACGTGTATGTGTGTCGTGCACCCTCCTCCACCCGACACAGCAGCCGAACAATTAAAGCCGTCAGGCGAGCAAAACGTGCCAAAAACGAACGCCTCCGCGCTAAACCTGGGCTCAAGAAAACTCGAGCCCAGGCCCCCTGTCGTTTGGCAGAGGACTAAGGGAAGGTGAACGTGGACCCTGCGGGCAGCGACGCAACAGCGGCGGTCGAGGCTGCGTACTTGTGTTGCAGGACGGAGAGGTTCTGCTCGGCACGGTGGCGCGCACAGCGGATGTAGCGCATCCAGCTGCTCCGTCCGGGCTCGCTGCCATCCAGGAAGTGCAGCAGGCACCCGTCGCTGTCGTACACCTGCACGCGTCGCACGCCAGAATTTCCAGTCAAACGGATCGTTCATCACTCATCACCCCCCACCGATATCCGACGATCTGTTCCGCATGTCGGGAGCGGGACGTCGCATGCACGCGCACGCTGTGCCCGCGGCTCAGATCGTTCGTGAAGCCGCACGCAGGCCACTGTGTGTGTCGGTCGTGTAACGATACACTGATTCAGCAAAGTGTAATCCCACACGCATGACACACGCGTCGAATTGCACGTGTACTTTTTTTTAAACAAAGTATGACTCGTGTTCAAACTTTAAGCGCACGATTTAAATAAGCGCGTGGAAATTCCAGTCCTAATGAAGTGAACACAAACACCGTTTGGATGGCTAGAAAGAGGATTGAGAAAGTTCGAGGGCAGATTCGGGGGAAGAGAGAATGCAGATCGAAATGATCCAAAAGAGGCACCACAAAGCTTGCGAGAGCTCGATGAAAGCAGAATCCATACGGGTGAGCGATGTTGGAACAGAGGCCAAGAGCCAGGAAGAGAAAGATGCTACTTCATGGCTTGAAACAAAAAAGTGGGGGGAGGGGGGGGCGGGGGGCTACAGTGAAATAAAGAAGAGGCCTCAAGATCGGACAGGATGGAGGAAGTCAAGGATGGAGGGAGTCAAGGATGGAGGGAGTCAAAGAGCAGACATTGTGCATATGACTCGAGAAAGACGACTGGACACAACTCTACAAAAACGAGAGGCAGAAAGAGCGTGGAACAATGAAAGCGCGACTGTTGAAAACGAAACACACATCGAGTGATTCGGTAATCGAATCACAACTCTCAATCATGGCAATTCATTGCGGAGGTCAACTGCCGCACACTGATGGTAAGTGCCGTATGCACACATCAGGCAAGTTTGTGAACGTGACGTCACAAGTATAAACAGACCCACATTCATTCACTTATTTTAAATAAAACTAGCAGCCGGCACATCCTTTGGACGTGGGCGTCCGTTCGTCTCTGCGGTCAGCCAGCAAAACTTTGTTTTAACAGAATAGCGAGGGTGCTCGTCGTTGAACGAGGGTCTTCCCCCACCCCCAACACCGCACCTCCCCTCCCAGGCCCCCCCCCCCGCCTCATCCAACACGCACCGCCACCTGCACCCTCCTCCTCATGCACCCCTTTTCACACCCACCCACCACGGCCCCCCAACGCACCACCCACCCGCGCTATCCCTCGGCGTGCCCCCCCCCCCCCCCCCACCATGCACCACCTGCCCTCGGCGTGTTGACCTCTAGCCGATCAGAGCCCGCCCCGTGCGGCTCATGGCCAGCCAGCCGGCCAGCCAGCTAAACTTGGTTTGTAATCTAACATGATACCTCCTCGCATAAACGCACTTATTCTACGCGATCGGCCGATTCAAGCACGGCGTCTACATCACGAGGCTGCGTAAAATCGAGGAAGAAGGAGGAGGAGAAGGAGGAGAAGGAGGAGAAAAAGCAATTCCCGTGGCCGGGTCAGCGCGTTTCGCTTGCGCTGCAGGACGTCGGCAGCGGGACGGCCACCGTGCGCGCGTCGGTGCGCACTAATTTGCAGAGCGGGGCAGATGGGGCCGGGAGGGCAGGACAGGGGGAGAAGGGGGACAAAGGTCGCGAGGGTCGAGGTCTGCTAAGTAACGGGACGCTCTCCCCTCCTCCGCCCGGGCCGAGGTCCCATTGCGAACGGGGGGCAGCGCGGGACCTGATTAGGGCTGGAAAACTGCAGGCACCTCATCCATCACCTTTTTGTTTGGGGGGTGGTGGGGGGTGGTGGTGGTAGTTGGCTCGCCTTAATCAGGGCCAGTGCGCCTGACTGGGGCGGGGCAACTCCCGGCACGCGCGGGTTAATGCCACAGACAGCACGGTGAAGCGGCGGTCACAGCCGCATAATCCCCGAGTCAGCGCCCATCATCACCGCGCGGACCCTCATTGCGGAAAATGCATGCGTTACATAACAGAGACGAAAGACAAAGATAACCTCCCCCCCTCCGCCCGCCCGCCCGCCCCACACCGTATAACCCTGCACAGGCTGCTGGGGAAGATGCTCTGAGCGAGCAGATGTGAAGGCCGAAACACCATTTCAAGTTCTCATTTCGAGCTGAGTTGAACTATAGGTGGACTGAGAACGGGTTCGGATCTTGGCGACTGGTATTTGCCGTGAAGCGAACGCGGTTCGCCGAGTTCGGAGTCCAGTGCACTAACTACAACGTTTCCACTCCCCCACAATATTACACGTGTGTTAGATGACAACACAGACACACACACGTGCACTTACACAGTAACACACGATTGCATGTACAGGGTAGAGGCCTGAATGCCCCAAGAGGCAGACTCTTTAGAGAACGACATCATCATACGTTATTAAAAAATAAGCAGAAATATACACGAAGACGATTGCTTGTGTTGCGATCGAAACGTCGTGATATTGTTATTATTTTGCTATTTTTTCTATCTACGTGGCTTTACCGAAAGACCCAAAGACTAGAAACAGATATAAACAAAAACAAACCCGCCATACAAACACACCAGAGCCATACCGGGCAAGCAACTTGCACAGCTGCCATGTATCTCTGCGCTCAGACGCGACAAAAAAAAAAACCGCTCTTATCCCCAGGCTCCTCGCACATTCGCTGAAGGGGTTTGCGTCATCGAAAGCGACGTGGCCTCAAGTCCGCGCAGTTTTTTCTGCAGTGATGGCACCCCCCCCCCCTTCCTCCTCGGCTATATTTTGCGCCCGTCAAAACTCGCCAACTCGGCGTCGTATCTGAGACTCGTGCCACTCAAGCCGGAGCGACTTCTCCTGCGCAGCTGGCAGAGTCAGCCACCCGTGCCGGTTTATCGATCTCACACCTCGGGCGGTGGCGTTTTCCCACGGAGGAGGTCACGGGCTGAGAGGCAACGCTGCACGGTCCAGCGTGCCACACGCGCTGAAGCACTCGAGTTCTGATGACACACACCACCACATCTATCTCCACGTTGCCTCGGGCTCTATCTGACGCCGGGCACTCTACCCGCCCGGGACCTTGATTTGCTCACTCGCGAGCACACTTCCCCACTTTGTTAATCGAGTGGCCGACGTCACGTCACTTTGCGAGCGAGGGGCCAACTTCACCAAAATAGCCTTGGGCTCACGGCCTCGTGATGACGTGGGACAGAGGTGCAAAGCGGGTCGAGCAGTGGTCGTGTCTGGGACATCGCGCGCACCGCCACCGCCGCGATCATCGCGACGGCCCATTGAACGCGCCGGCACGTGCGCAAGCGACGGGCGTCGGCGATGACGATGAGGCTCTATTTGATTTGACTTTTCTTCTTGGTTCTTTCGGTAAAGTCACGTAGAAGGGAAATAATAAAATTATAAAAATAGAACATAATAAAATACAATTCTCACGAGGTTTCGGCCACAACGCAAGCAGCCGTCCTCAGGTGAAGAACAGGTCATTCAGATGCTGTCTTTCCGACAGACCTGTTCTTCGCCTGAGGACGGCTGCTTGCATTGTGGCCGAAACGTCGTGAGAATTATTTTATTATGTTTTATTTTTATTATTGTATTATTTTCATTCTACGTGACTTTACCGAAAGAACCAAGAAGATGAATCCCTGCAGTCACGAAAGCTTTAAATCGAAATAAAATAAAACTTAATAAAATACAATTCTCACGACGTTTCGGCCACAACGCAAGCAGCCGTCCTCAGGTGAAGAACAGGTCATTCAGACGCTGTCTTTCCGACAGACCTGTTCTTCGCCTGAGGACGGCTGCTTGAATTGTGGCCGAAACGTCGTGAGAATTGTATTTTATTGCTTTATTTATTTTATTTTATTATTTCCCTTCTACGTGACTTTACCGAAAGAACCAATAAGATGAATCCCTGCAGCCACGAAAGCTTTAAATCGAAATTTGATTTCACTTTTTTTACTTTCACAAAATAATTAATGTAAAGACTTTGCAGTTTTTTCCTGGATTTTTCTAGTTTGTGCATAGTCACTCTAAGATGTTTTCTTGTTCATGTTTTTGTTTTTTGTTTGTTGTGGCTGCACCTCGATTCAAGAGCCGAACGGCTCACATGGCTATACCAAATAAATGAAAGTGAAACTGAAAACTGAAATAGGCTGATCAAATACAACACACGTGACCCGAGCTGCGTTTAGCAGCCCAATGCACGTGATTTAACACACGTTGCATGATACAGCTGCTATACACAACACACATTATCCGTTAACATTACCCTATTATGATCTATGGGGGGCCAGTGGATCCAATAAAACTCCTCTTATCCGCGGCTCCACAGCTGCAATTATTAGCCAATTATCCGTGATTATTTAGCTTCCCTGCTCATTACGGCAGATAAGAGGGAGTTCTCCTGGAATAAAGTAATTCAAGCGACAGAGCCACGAGCAGAGGCAGAGGGCACGCATCCGCATGACGCTCATCCCTGCTGGAGGATGAAGGTCCAGAGAGCGAGCGAGAGAGCGAGCGAGAGAGCGAGCACACCCCCCCCCCCACCTCTCTCGCACGTGCACACAACGCACCAGGTCACGGGGGGGTTTGATTTATTGCCTCGACCGGACCTGGATCTGAACACAGTGCAGGGCATTGCCTCCTCCAAAAAGGTAACGCTAATTAAGCGATAGAGGGGTAATAATGGTTGACAGCGCTCACAAACACTTCATATCTGTGCCCCGTGGCCACCATCCATCATGCGCGGGGGTAGGGGGGGGATGAGGGCGTGGGGTGGGGGGGGGCAAGGGGGTGGGGGGCTATCGTGCGATGCCCCAAGAACTATTTCAGTCTCGGCCCTGGAGAAGGGCCCACGACATTGGAGTGGACGGCGAGGAGCCGCGCGCGTGCGTGGCAGTCCCCGCCGCGTGGCACTCTCCACGACTCGGCCGTGTCGTGAAACGTTGGGGAAAGTGGACACGCTGGGGCGGGTTTTTTTTGGGGGGGGGTGGGGTTTCGATAAAGATGCGCAGCGTTCAACCAGTGTCGAATTATCCCAGTAG